AATCAGTTCTAAACACAAAAATATCATCGAAAATCCAAACAGCAATCACTTTCCTAAATATAGTTTCAAGCTTTACAAATCAGTTTTCGTTTTTATTTTAGTTTCAAACTCCAACAACTTTCAGCATCGGCCCCAAACAAAAAGCTGATCAAACAAACCTCGATTTGGATATTCACAAAGCAGACGATCATCCAAAAACTGACCCTAAAACAATAAAAAAATCACAAATTTTCTATTAAAAAAGCACAAAAAATCAATACCCAGAAACCGATTGTCATAAAACAATGCACCCAAGAAACAAAAACATTACAACATACCCAAATCGATTTGCCTCTTTTACTGAGTTTTCTTTATCGTTTTTATTGCTTTTGTTTCAACAAAGCCAAAAGACAAGCAGATAAAACGGAGCGATACGATATATACCTTTTTATTAGAAGAAGATGAAATTAGAATGACGCTAACTAATCACGTGCTTTAAAAAGCTTGAGGCAAGAAAAAAAATTTTGAAGAGTAAATGGAAAAATTAATGCGATCGAAATTTTTTTTTTTTTAAATGGAAAGACAGAAATGACGGTGGGTGACTTGAAGCCAGAAAAAGAACGAAAGAAGAAGGCAAAGGCATGGACATGGAGGAGGCAGTGCCCACGACTTACAACGTAGGATGCCATTATGGAGTTACGTGGAAGGAGCTGATTGGCTTGCACTTACTTATGATGGGTTGGTGGACTAGTGTATCTTCCCCTATCAGGACAAGGATTGAGCTAATTTTTTATTTCAGATCATTTTTTCTAACATGGATTTTCAGCCCCATTTTTTTTAATATATTGTACTATGAAAAATAGTTATAACAAAATTTTGAGGAATTTTGCAATTAAATTTTATTTAGTTGCATTCTTTTAATTTAATAAAACTAAAAATTATAATTCTCTTTGTATATATATCCAGATGGGCTTGATAATGGTATGAAGCCCGAAAAAGTTTAACGGTAACCTTGAACCATTTTGTAGTAAAACTATATTATCAATTACAAAGAGGTAAATATATTGCTAATAAAAAAAGAAGGTGCGTATATTAGATAAATTATTGGAAATTAAAATTGTATATGATTTAATTTAAAAGTCGATGAGATACGGTCTTTGAATGAGAAGAGCAGCGGGGATGATGGTTATTGAATTAGGAAAAGAGAAAAAAAAATCAACTTTTGAAATAATTTTGGATAAATTTACTGGTTACTTGTAACGCGTTACTCATGTTGTTGGAAAGAAGCCTAAATACAGTGATATGCCTTACGTTGATACATTTCTCAAGAACGGTATATAAAATGTTAGACCTTTGGACAATTAAAACAATTTTTGCATGATACATTCTTAGTTCTTATATTTGTCGTTTTTCCTGCTAATATTTGTGGCAAGGTCTTTATTTCAAAGGAATGGGCAAATAAATTCTAATTTTTATTAATTTATTGTTATAATTTCATTAGTATTTTTATATATTTATACACCAAATAATTCTTATTACTGTTAATTGATTGTCAACTTGTTTTTGTAGATATTCGTACTTTTATACATGGCAGAAGGAGACCTCAGTTTTTAATTTTTTTTATTATCATATATATAAAATTTAAGACATATTTTTGTCATCCCTAATTAAATCAAATAATTTCTTTTGAAATAGTCGTAAGCTTTAGGTTCAATTCCTCTTGAGTCAAATTCTAAAATTTTTTCTCGTTTTTCCTTTTTCCTTTTTTATTGTTTTTCCTTTTTTGCTGACTAGACTTTTTTTTCCTTTTATAAATTTTTTTGGAGGAATTTTTTTTTAACAAACAATTAAACAATTATCATTAATTAAATTAAAAAACCCTTCATCAAATTGGAAAAACTCTTTTTTTTTAAATCAATTAAACAATTATCATTCATCAAATTAAAAAAATATTTTTTCTTATTTTCTTTTTTAATAAATTAATCAAACAAAGTTTAGCATATATTTTCCTGGATTGATGCAAGTTAGAACACTTGCATAATTATGTAAATAATACATCGTTTAATAGTTTACAATGCTTAACATGAAAATTTAATGTTAATCTCTTTTTACTTTATATCTATTTGTATTGGTGAATCTAAAAATTAATATTTAAATTGTTAATAAAATTTTATGTTACAATGTAATTTTATTTTAAAAATGATTAATTTTTACTCTGAATTGAATCATTGATCCGATACATGAACTTGTAGGATTACCCTTTAACCATTCCTCATTCAGAACCCTGGATTCATCACTACTTTCATATATATTAGTATTAAATTTTTATTTATTTATAATAATAATATTGAAAATGATTATAATTTAGAGCTATATTAAATAAATAATATTGAGTCAAGTAAATCACTATCTAATGAGAGTGTTCAATAGAATTAAAATTCTCATATATGTATAAGATAAATTTTATTACTATGAATTTATAATTGTTATTGAAAATATAATCAATAATATTTTTTAAAATGATAATTTTAAAATAAAATGAACAAAGTATAATGTGCTTATTTTTTTACATATAAATAAATAGATAAATTGTATAGTTATTAACATTAGGACCAATTATTATAAAAATTGAACATTAGTAGACATTCTTGAATTTTGTTCAATTTAGTCTATCTACTTTATCATTTTATTTAATTTCATTCATTTGACATGACATTTAAAAAAAATTATTTAGATTTGTTACATCAACATTTCAGTATCATATCATCACTATTATGTCACCATTTTAAACCATGTTATTATCGTGTTAGTAAATTTTGACACATCAACAATAGTATCGATAAAATTAGATGGCGTTAAAAGAATGATTTAATTTTACAAATTTCAAAATTAAAGATTAAATTAACTATTTTGGGATAGAGAGATAAAATTGACAAAAACACCATAATATAAGACTATACCTTGATCAAATAAAAATATAAAAGTTTAATTGAACATAATAAATTTTTTTTTATTTAAATGTTTTGAATAATTTTAAAAAATATATATTATATTATATATTTATTCATTGGATGAGATTTACAATACACCAATGAAAACAAACCAAAATCTCCTACTGAATCCATGGAGCGAATACATAAAACAAATGTCATATATTATACATTGTGAGTATATAAATATTATACTTTGAATATGAATATTTATAAAAAAATTAAAATTATAAGAGTTTATATTTAATGTATTATCAGTAAACTTATACTAAATCACATATTGTCACTTCATCAGTGAAAATTTTAAGACTTTAGAAGTCTTTTAAAATAAAAAATTTAATCCCACTGAACTTTAAGCGTTTTTTTCCTAAAATTTCTATAATGGTTTTCATTTTCGTCAAATAACGGAATTTTTGGGGATCGGTGTATTTAGTTTCTCTGGTGTTTCCTTTGCCTTTATTGATTTGGTTGTTTTTTGTATGTTTCGTATGGATCTTTTATATTTATAAAAAAAAAAAGTTGTATTATCTCATTAAAAGTTAAATTAAGTTAAGTATTGATTTTGAATGACTTCTGAAATTTTTTAGTTTAGTCATTATCGAGGTGGTAGAGTATGATTCACTATACTTGCATAAGATTTATTCACTGCAAAGGAATTAATATTTGTTTAAAGACTAATAAATTTTTAATTTTGGTATGAAGTATCATTTTTTTTGGTTGAGTAGCCATACATAGTATCAACTATAAACTTTATTGGATGAGATTTACAATAGAGAGATGGAAAAAAAATATAAAATTCGCTGCAATTTCTGTAGCTGAATTCATGGAGAAAATTCAAAAAAAAAAAAGAGTAATATATGAATAAACATTAAATAAAAGTCTATAAAATCAATGGATGAGGTAGGTAATTGCCAGGGCAACTAGGAGGAGAATGTAAGCAATTCCTTGATCAATCGCGGTACCATCGTTGGGTAAATCAGGAGCAGGTGCAGGAGAAGAACCCACGCCTTGCCCGTAACTGAGTTGCAGAAGAGCGAAGAACAGGAAACCAATAACTGGAAGAACATGCAACCTCATCGAACTCATCCTCAAATTAACTAAAGAAAACGAGCAAGACAGTTCCTGGGTGTTTTTCCTTTTTAACAGGGGAAGGGAGAGACCGACGAAATGAACAGAGCAGAAAGGAAGGTTGTCTTACGAGGAGAAGTTGGAGACGAATTGATGATATATATAGTGGGAGTTTTCCGCGGTATAGGCAATTTCCTGGAAGAGCGATGTTTTGGTAACTGATGCTGCCCTTTTCCAGAACGCGTCCTTCGACACGAGAATTTTTGACCCGGTTGGCGGCTACGCTAACATTGAATAGCGTGCGTAAAGTGTCATGGTGCCATTGGCTAGCCTCATTTCTTTTACTCCCCTCGTGCCCATTTTAAGTTTCGTTTAGTACTTTTTCTCCACAAATATGCATATATATATATATATATATTTTTATATAATCATTTTGGCCAGCAGTGTACTCTACAAGGGTTTGATCAGGGATTTTTCCCTTGCAAGTGAAAATATGGAAGTAGATTGGCATGTTTACAGGTTGGCATTTGATTAGGTGTGCGTTGGTGTAATACAAAATAGTTAAAAAAAAAAAAGGTTTGGTCATGGAGAAAAGAAATGATGCTTAGAAAGGAGAATTTATGCTGGCACCATGCCAGCTTAACATTTCCACTGATATTCTGCTTGGAATCATTACCAGATTTTAGATAATAATTGGATTTCTTGGGTAATTTATGCATCTAATGAATGATGATCTTATTACATGATAGACAATTCAAAGTTTTACTTTTATTACAATAAATAATAAAAGTATGAGCAACTGTCAACTATACCATAACAGCGGTCCTTGTCTGTTTGGGCACATCGAACATTTCAAATTAGAAGGTCAAACTTGTTTGCTTTGATTTAGAATGGTTTTGTACGTGGATGGAAAACGACAATTGACTTTTATATTTATCAAAATAATCATCAATTGCAACATTTGCTGCAAAAAAAAAAGAAAAGAAAAGAAATTGAAAAATACCTTATGTATTTGTTAATAAAAAGAAGTACAGGAATAGCTAATAGATTGAGTTGCAATCAAGGATGCCTTGCCATGTAGCCTATATGGCTTCTGGAAATTGACTGATAGAACCAGAATAGAGAGTTCAGGAATTCAATTTGCTTTCATTGCGTACGGACGAATAAGATGTTGCCTAGCTGATGCTTGATTTTGCTGTTAATCAGCTAGATTTGGCAGTTGAATAATCTTCTAAGTTTCATCTTATTATGCTAATATACATTTTTCTTTGGGGTGAACACTTGATGATTAGTAACAAATAAAGCAAGGTGTTAATTGATTTTGATGTAACTTGTTATTTTTTATTTTATTCATTTATTTAAATAAAATATTTTTAATTTTTAATCATAATTTTATATAAATTTATTAATTTTTAAAATGAATAATGAGATTTAAAAATATAAACATTGTTAACAAAAAATATGAAATGATTAAAATATTTTTTCTTCTTTCTTTTGTTTCTTTTTTTCTCAAAAAATGTTACTGGCGAACAAGACTCCTATCAGTCAGCCGACCACCCCATTGCCAATCAACCACCCAAGAAAGGGGAGCACAGATATGGTTCTCCCTCCCTCTAGTGCTCCCCCTCTTGAGGAGAGATTTATTTTTTTACAAGAGAAAAAAAATTACAAGAAAAAATTTTAAAAATAAAAAATTATAATTTATATATGAATAATTTTTAAAATTAATAAAAAATAAAATTTCTTTTTTAATATTATTACATTATCAAATTAACAATTGATTAATAAAATAAATCTGCATGAAATTATAACTAAAAGTTTAACAGTACAAGTATTTTATCTTATTTATTTTTTTGAATAATTAGGTAATGTAAAGGAAATTTAGAAATTTAAAATTAGTTTTAGGGAGAAAATAAAATCTGATTGCTATTGATTTTTTTTTGTGCATCAAGATTTGATATAATTTGGACGACTGGCCAACTAGGCCCATGTGGACTCTAGTTGTAGTTTATTCTGGTAGCTAAGGCAGGCAAACGAATTAACACCAGGCCTAGCTGGATTCTAGTTTTCGTTTATACTTTATACCCGCAGCCAAAGCAGGCAAAAGAATAACATGCACACATAATCGGGCAACGGCTGCCTCAATTGGCAAGGCAAGAAATCAATTTATATTATTATTTTCTTTTTGATGGGTAAAATATTAATTCTTGTGACATGAATTCCTTGATTTTTAATATACGTTGAAAAAAGTAGGCAGAATTTAAGAATCCACCACCATAGCGTGTACTGTAGACCAAGGCAATGCTCCAATGGAGAAAAAGCACATAAATATCATTGGGCATGTACTAAAATTGAATGGTACAAAAGGAGGGCATGCATTACTCAAGAGAGGAATAGCACCCACAATTGATGAAGCCCATTTGGCCAACACAGAGATGGCAGCGGCCCCTAGAAGAAGTGAGACATCTGCTCCTAGTTGAAGCCTAACATTGCTTTGCAACCTTGGGTTCACGGAAATCCGCAGCCATGTAAATCAAAATCCCTGCAGAAGCTGAATTGAAAACCCCTTCGACAATTAGAGCCTTTGGGCTGTTGTCATTGTAGAAATTGCAATTCCCAATGGCATTGTTAGGGACAGAGACTTGAATTGTGCTAGTTCAAGAGAAACTGAGTCTTCCTCTTCTTCGTTTATTAGTTCTTTCTTTGCGGCTTTTGATTATAATTCTACATTTTTCCTTCATAAAATTAAAGAAGCCACAAGGAACGGGCCAGAAAGAAATCTCTCTTATCTCTCTTCTTTCCTCCACATTGCTTTTGCTTTCCGTTGCCTTGTTAACAACAGAGGTAAATCCAAGCGCTTGTACCAAGTCACCAAAGAGGAAACCAGGAACCGGGTCAAATTAAAACGACTTGCAATTTGGGACTGCAAAATGCAGACGAGGTTATGGGCCTCTGTTCTCTTACGCCGAAAAGCCTGACAAAGCTAAATTCTAGCAACTTTTCTTATGTATGAGATAAAGGGGCCCATGCCCAAAAGTCAAGAGCAACTAAACAAGCTGACCGAACATGAATGAGGATCTCTGCCGCCTAATGGCAATTTTCTTCGACTGTAATTGGTAGACCATACTGATTATATTATATAAATAAAAAAACAATTTTTTATTTATTGTTTATTGATTTTAAATTTTAATTTAGTATTAAAACAGGCTTTGACTCCATTCGTTGAATTTATTTGTGATTTATATCATGTGGTAAGTTCATTATTCTTACATGTGAAGAGAAATATTAAAATAGTGATAAAAAAAATCTCATATCTACTAAATTAAGAATATCTTGAACATATAAATATAACAATAATCTCTTCTTACATTTATCAATTGGTTTAAGGTTGAATATCAATTTAAAATTTTAATAAAAAGAATTTATTCTCTCTCTTTTATTAGCTCAAAAAGAGATATGGTTAATTGTTGTTTTAACTGCAAGATAAACCCATTATTAAGCTAAATAAGTGGAATAAATCACTAAGAAATACTGGAATCATGTATATCAGTATGTGAGAATAACGTTTCCAATTATTATCTTTAATGGATGGAAGACTGTCCGTTGTCACCTACTCGTAGTAGTAATAGTAGTAGTATAACAACAATTCTAGCAAACAGGGACGAACAGAGGCAGATGGGACTTTGGAAATTCTTCTCAAGTGATTGCCTTGTCCGTTAGATATGGCAGTGCCAAACACAGCCTACTATTTTTCCCTGGTACGTGCCAAAAACAACCTACTGCCTTGCTGTATTACTACTTCTACGCAATTACACGCATTGTGTCCAGTAGTATGATGACAAAAAGGCATTGTCGTTTGCTAAAATCCAAGAAGAAATGCGCTTTTGACGAGGAGAGGACTAGGAAAGGCGTCAGCATCAGCTCAACCATTGTTCCTTTTGCTCGTAATTTCCACAAGACGAGAGGCCCTCTGCAAAAGCCAAGCCTAATTTCAGCTTCCGCCTAACCAAACTTTATCCCGGGTGGCAAAACATGTGCAAGCTTAACTTAAGCAATCACCATTTATCGAACAAAGGAAGTTTCAAAAAGTGACTAACTAAAGTGAGTTGATCAGACTCGTAATCTAAGTCATGCAGGCATTAGGAAAGACTTTATAATCTGTCAGGACAGAACCATTGAGGTGCTGCCACGTTTGACATAAGAGGACGTGGCAGCACCTGATTTTGAACTGGAATCATTGAAGGCAAGTATCTGTTTATTAGGCCAATGTTTTGGACAAGTGGGCGTACGAGCAGCTGCTGCTTTTGGACGGGTCCCAAGTAACCGCCTAGTCGAAGCTTTGAAGATAAAGAAAAAGCTTTCTGGAATCAACCTAAAAACGCTTTATGCCCAAAACTTTCCTTGCCCACCTCTCCTTATTCCTTCCTTTCCTTCCATTGTATAATCTCACCGGTACCTAGATTCTTTGCTTTTTAAGCTCTGCTCACACAGCAGCAACATAATAACACCCAGAGTGAGAGGCAGAAGGGAGCGAAGGGGCAAAAAAGAAGAAAGGAGAGAAAAATGTGTTATGCAAGCGTTCCCTCCGTTGGTAAACAGGGCTTGGTGGCGCAACGCAGATGGTTCGTTTTGCAGGCATCAATGATGGCTGCTGCGCGTCATGCACCAAGAGCTGGGGTGGCAAGAGAGACTGGTGGAGCTGGCTCCTCCTCGATGAAGCAGTGTTTGTGTTCACCTACGAAGCATCCGGGGTCGTTTAGGTGTAGGCATCACCATGCGGAATATGTGTGGGGTGGTCGATTTATCAGCAAAGTAATGATCGCACCGCTGCGCGGAGGACGTCTAGGTTGGTCGAATTGTTACAAAAGAATGACCAGTAGTTTTAGTTCAAGGTCTAAAATCATTGTACAAAGGAACCAATGATTTGAACACTTCTATAACTATATGGACGGCCTCGTCTTCTTAGATTCTTCATTTGTTTTTATTCCTTGTGAATTTGCAAACAAAATATACAGGTTGATTGGTCAATTCTGCAAACCTGTATCGTTTTTCTCAAAATTTCTTGCCCCATTATAGCTTTTGCCCACGATATCTGCCCCTCCCTAACCTTTTCTTCGGTAACCCCCTTTCCTCCGTCCTTTCTGTCCCTCTTATCTTAGGTAAAGCTGAACATGCCATGCCACAATGAGAGCACAGGGGGGGAGGGGGGGGGGGGTGTCTGTTTTGGAGATGTTTAATATTGGAATTCAGTATATAAAAGAAAATGTAGAAATCAAGGTAATGAGCTTCAGTTTTACCATCTTCGTAGATTGACCACCCACCCTTAATAACCTTAGCTTGGCTTAACAATTTTATCCTTCCATGTGAACATTATAGTGCAAAGATTGAACTTCTTCCGCACTGTTGGCCTTATACAAAATAAAAACGAAAACAATCGACAACCACCAAACTCTTCATGATGAGAATTGATAAATTAACAATGAACTGCAGCAGCAAGAGGATTTCCTTTTTTCCTTATTCAGCTTAAAAGAAATATAACTACTGACCAGCAGTATGGCCTGTCCGTGCAGTTAAGAGAACCTGGAATGTAAATTAAATTTCACTAGAACTCAAATCTAGGCAACCTCATCCATGTAAATCTTAATAAATCATATATGTAAGATAGAGGGGAAAAAAATAATGGCTTCCTTTCTTAGTTGAATAAACCGTTTTCATCCAATTCTAGTTAATATGCACCAACTACCCAAACTAGGATCACTTACATTAACATGTACAATATAACCAAAGGGCTGACAAAATCACCCAGCGTCCAATTCTGTCCACTTCCAGTACATATATGGGCTGAAAAGGTAGATCAGAGCACCGTCCGCCACATTACTGCAAAACACAAAACCAATTCATGGGTTATAATTAAAAATGTAAAATATATACTACTCCTATATTTTATGAAAAACGTGACTACAGGGATTGAAAAAAGCCATTTTTTTTTTATAGCAGGAAGCAATCTCAGACCAGTCTCAGATAAAAATGGGTTGAGGGATCTTGATGTTCCAAATTATACTAGTTTCAATTCAAATGGAACATCAGAAACCACAGAATAACACATAGAAGAAGGAGCAACCTGCTGTTCTAACTTCTTTTCCCCTCTTTTTAAAACAGAAAAAAAATGTTTTGAAACTTTTCCTGCACCACAATAATGGGTGTGCCAATGATAAAGCCAATTTTAATCCAGCTTATCAAGTCCCCAGTGATCTCAAATTGATTATAACCCCCAAATTATAATTTACATGGGCATCTGGCAATGTCCAAATCAGAATAGTTGATCATTTTGTCTGGACAGAACATTAGCACAAGTCTAATTCACACGCTTTATCAAGCAATTCCATATATACTTCAAGTTCGTATCATCCTTGTAATGTGGTTTACAGACCTAGAGCTTAACTGTAATGACAGAGGGATAACAAAAAAGGGATCCTCACCTCAGCATAGCAATCCTGACGAACAATTGTCTGGTTATTTGTATTTACATATACCTCACATGATACTTTTGCCTGAAACATTATAGAAATTTAGAAACATAAATCAAACGTAGTTCAAGCATAAAGCATTCTCATTCAGCATGCAGAATTATTTAAAACAACTATTAAAAAGGAACAGAGTGAAGAATTCCGGAAAATAAGCAGATTTTAACTTTCTTGTACCAAACAACAATCCTCAGAAAAGAAAAAGAAAAGCAGGGAGAGGGGTTGGGTGGGATGAAGGGGTCTTTTCCACATGTTCATAGACATTGATGAATGCTGGCTGCTAACTACGAACTTTGCATTTTCAACTAAATGCTCAAGACATATAAAGGTTTTCATATGTATTACGCATATGAAACAATTTCCAACAAGCATAAGCTACAGTTCAGTTGGTAAGGACTGTGCTATTATAAATACAATTTGTATAGAATGACGCTAATGAATCATAGAGTAGGCATCAATAACAAAAAAGAACTTTGAAGCATGGAAACACTAATCCTTTCGTTGCTTCTGATCAATTAATCAACAAACTTGTGTGCCATATACGAGCAATTTGGGCCCAATCATAGGCTTGCTTTGTCGTTTTAGGACAATAGTTCTCCATCTCAATCTGTTTCAACACCTTCACAGATCTGCTTAGCTTAGCTGTTTTCAATTAGCCATCTCAATGGCCAATAAACAAAACCTGTCCCTTTCCCAGAAAAGGAAAGAAAAGGTTTTTACTTTACCAAATTTCTGCTCATTCAGCATAAATTATGAGCCTTAATACATTTATACTCAAACCCAAGTAATTAAGTACCAAGATTTTCAAAGGTCTCTTTGTCACGTTTTGACACAAACAAGCATCAACTCATGTTGAACTAGTTTTAATCACTCCATAATCATGCAGTGTGTTTAGTCACAAAGCTCCAATGGTCCACTAGTGCAGTCATACAACACTTTTAACCGACTTATTAAATCCACTGCGAATGAAAAATTCTCTCTTGATGGTGTCATGTACCTACTTATTTTAACTAACCATCTATGAGTCAACTAAAATTCAAGGATTTAGCCCTGCTTCGGCTTTTTTTACCAACTAATTAATGCTAGAGATATGATTTTATTTTAAGACAACTTTATTTGAGTCCAAAACAGCATTGATCCCCTCGAATCAAAGAAACTACATCAAACAACCAAATCACTATAAATTAAACAAAGTTGACATTTTGGCCCGCATTCACAGTGTACTGCACTAGCAAGAATTCTCCAAATATGCATTGGTAAGATGTGATTGAATTGAGAACATAACTGCAACTAAAGGAAAACCTGACCCATGCGTTTGGTGTGGCTACAAGTAAGGTCATTAAAAGTAGATCATGTTTCTACTCAACCACCCATAAGACATTAGTCCCTTTTTTGGGTTGATTCATCTTCCCTGGTCAGCACTTAAAACTAAAATCCAATAAGCTAGGCTATATATAGCTAGGTTCCTTTCAAAAAGTTTCTTAACCAAGTTGGAAGAAGCACCTATCATCAAAGCTAAGTTTAACATCGCCAATCGACCAAACAGCAATGTGCATCATCACCAATAAACTCATTAACTAAAACTCACTTGCCAGAGCAGAATAAAACCCAAATGCTAAAAAAATGAAAACGTTTTTTCATCACAAAATAATACTCTTCAAGCCAATTAAACTATCAAACTGAATGCAGAACCAAATTCAAGAAAACCAGTAAAAAAGGATTTTCTTTTAACGGCTAACCTTGAGGGGAACTTTAAAGAGGAAAAGACCAAGATCTCCATCAACCTTAGTATTAGTATCAAAGGGAATAACCCCTTTAGCCCAATCCGCAATCAAATAAATCACATCGTGAACCACCTCAAGCCCATTCAAATCAAGCGTGGCGTTCACGTAGGAGCTTCCTCTAGCTCTCACACGCCCACCTTCCGAACTCACCACCCCAAGCTCCCTCCCTCTATACCCAACCGAAACGACAAGCTTGTCATAGTCCAAAGAAAAGAAGTCCCTGTTACGGACCCTGATGGTCAAAGAAAAAGAGAGGTCGAGGGTAAGTGCGGGCGACGAGTTGACTCGGACGTGGTTGAGTTGGAGTCGGGCGAGTTGGAGAGTTGGATCGGAAGGGTACAGGAAGAATACGGCGGCGGAGAGGAGGACGACGATGCCGGTGAAAACGAGGCAACAGCGGAGACAACGGCGGTTTTGGTTCGGGAGGCGGTAATAAACGGGTAAAACGATGACGTTTTGCAGGTTAGGGTTTGATGGGAGAGCGGTGTACGGTACGGACGAGTCTCGTAAATCCCGTTTCGACATTTTTGTTATTATCGTTGGCGTTTCGGTCGTGTTTCTGGCGGAGATTTTAGAGTGGATGGGCCAAAAGTAAGGAGTGGACGCTTCTTTAGTGTACCAGGTTGTCGTTTTATATTTGTTAGAGTTACACGTCAGATGGGCCCAAGATATTTATTAATTTTGTTAGGTCAATTGATTTGGCATTGGAAAATTTGTAGGAATTTTTTTTGTTTTGGTTTCTTTTGCAATAATTTAACAAGAACCAACTTTAAATATTTTACCCCAAAATTTTAAGGTATAAATAATTCATTCCTTTACTAAACACACTAGTTGTCATCATTATTTTAAATTTAAAGAGTATACACTAAGTCTTAGTTGGTGCTTTACGATATTATTGAAGTGATGTCAAATAATAAGGCGGGGATTGCCAAAAGATTGGGCATTTCTGTTTTGAAGATAAGAAGCTTTGAAAATTTGCAATTGCAAAAGTAGGCTACAGGGTGATGGGCTGAAAGTACAATTATGCTCTCACTAGTTTTTCTATTGACAAAGTCCTTTTTTTTTTAACTTTTTATTGGAAGAAAATAAACAGGAAAATTGTGGATTTTTAGTAGCAAAACTTAAAATAAAAAGCATGATCATTGGGTAGAATATGTACATTTTTAATAAATATTTATTATGGAAAGAGTTTATAAAATTTTAGAGTTGAATATAAAATTGGAATAAACTTTTGAGTGTAAAAGGAAAAATCAATTCCCAATATCATGTTTTTTTTTTGGAATAATTACATCTTTCGTTTAAATATTATATCATGTCATATATCTTTTTTATTTGAAGAGCAGCACTACAAAAAATTTCCCTTTTTAGATGGATTTATTCGGTTACAAACGTTACGATGGAATATCATTTGAATTTTATTTCGTTAAAAAATTATTGACAAAAAAAGTGGCATCAATTCGATGAAATTGAAATTAACATATAATAAGTTTTTATTCTAATTTTTAAATAAAAAAATATTCAACCTCAAATTTCAATTATAAAACCTTGATGCCAAATCAAGGGATGGGATGTAAAAGCATTTGGAGTATATATTTTTTGGCCTAAAAAGACACATTGATTTCATTTTGGGGGTTTAACAAGTAAAATGATGTCATTTTTTTTTTCTAAAGAATAAGCATATGAAGCACTAAAATGTTACAGTATAAGTTTTATCTAATTCATTTATATAAGTTTAGTTTGAATTCAATTGTTATTAATCAAATTAATGTTTCTTTGTGTCATACAATTATTCATAATAATTTTTAAATATTAGCAAAAATCATACCCATTAGAACATGTCTCACCTTAGCAAGAGTATTAAATGTAACCCAGCTTTATGTTTTGGTTTTGAAAACATTCAATAAGAGACAAGCCATGACATTGTTAATAGAATTATTCAAAAAAGTTAGTTGGTGGTGGGGATTCCATCATTTTTATTTAGAAGAAAAAAGAAAGACTAAACAAAAAAACATTGGATAAGGCAATCTCATTAATTAATCTTATTATGACTTTGAATCCATGTGCGTGCATTATCATTGTCTTTAAATTTCATTCATTGTACATCTCAATACCTTCATTTAAATTAAAAAGATATGTAAACAAACCATGGAAAAAGTGACATCTTTTTAAGAGAAGAGTAATACACAAGGCACGTAACTATCAATCAAAGTGTTGCAGACTCTTCCACTGTCATTATCAAAAGGCCCATTGCCTTTTATGCTGCTAACTAATTATTGGGGAAAAAAATGGAAAAGATTATTCTTTTCTTGATTTTTGAATCATGCAAATACAATTTCAAACATAATTTGACAAAAACCATTGCAGACCATTCAAAGCTCATCTCAAACCATTCCATTTGAGTCCAGAAAAAATTGGGAGGCAAGGCAATAATCACAGTTTTATGTGGATAAAGATCTCTTATCTTTTAAGCAAAAAAAATCAACACTGGGACTCAAATGGCATAGGCATCTGATTATCAAGGATGGACAGATATTAGAAAGATAACTTTAATTTCTTTAGAATGTTCTTTATGCTGTAGTTGAAAGGAACATATAATTAGTTTTATAGCTGGAAACCATGAAAGGTTGGTAACATTTAAAGTCGAGATATTTCCAAAAGCTATATCACCTTTGAACATGTGGTCAGTTGCTAGATAAAAGAATCCTTGGGCAATTAAGTATGATGAGAATTTAGAATCAAAATTCGCCTTTATGAAATCAGAGGGTCGGGTTTCTTAATGATCAACTCAGCCATGGGACAAAGGGGTAAAGGGAAACTAGAAACAAGCTATGGCAGTTAAGGTTAGTGCAAAGACAAAATTAAGATGAAAGATGAAACCAGTCAGGATTTTGCTTGTAGATCGATTGCATATCCATGCATGAGAATTGAGAAGTGTTGAATTAAGAGCAATTTTTGCAGTTAACTTGGAAAAGAGAGAGAGAGAGCTTTACCAAACAACAATTAATAGAAGCTAAGCTCTTGATTAGCTCTTTGAATTTAAACAGTCGCAGATATTTATAATCACATATCCCAAGCAAATACAGAAAATCCAGCATACCTATATATTCTCTTTTTCACATAGTAAGGGGACAAAGGGAGATTTTCATGAGAACATGGAGGAACATATGCTTATAGGCACGGAGTTTTACTCTTTATAATTTATGTAGATTCCACAGACTTGGGAGAAAGAGAACCCACGGAACCATTGGCAGGCATGGACTTTGATCGCTTCATCCAGGCTGATGAGCTTGACCGATGAAACCTGCATCGAAACGAGCCCTGGTGAGTCGTTGGTGAGCACAAACATTGGCCGCCTTTGGGTGAATTGGTTGGCACAGCTGCTTCCGAGTTGCTGCCTTTTGGGGAGGTGCTTACAGTAATGTTTCCATGGGAGGCCATATTTTTTTTGGGCAAAAGAAAGAGATTGAATGAAAGTAGTTCAAGGTGGCAAACTTAAAGAAGCTATTAGGCCTTGGCTATATGGGACAAGATGGGGAAGGACTCAATGTTTCTCACTCTTTGTATAGTGTGTAAGGTTGAAATAAGCAACCAACCGATCAAGTGGTTCCCCTTTAGTGATTTCACCTTGTTTGTCCTCATCTTAACCAATCAAATACAAAAGCCTCCCCAAATTCCATGGTGAGAGGCGCAGAAAGAGATATGGGGTTAGTTTCCCTAAGATCAGATTTTCATGTTCGCAACCAAAAACGAAAGGGACATCTCATTTGCTAAACCGATTGAGTATCACAAAAACTAGTGCATTCTTTTATTGATTCATTTTCCCTTATTTATTGTAATTGAAATACAGGTGGCATTTTCAGTCACTCCATATTATTCTAGATAAATTTACTAGCAACAGTTCAAAGAAGTTCTGCTTACTCTTTTGTAAAAGAAAGAGAGGCACATGGTGAGATAAGTGGGTGAATGAAGAGATGAGGTTTTCATGTGGGGTTTATATGGCTGATTGTACACGTAGACAGATTCTCCAATTACTCAGATAACTAATAACTAGGAAAATGTGGAGCCTTATTTCATAGTTTAGTGAAAAGGATTCCAGGTTTCCACTAACATTCTTCCATGTGGATGAGATGAGACCTCTTCCGCCATCTTTCTTTAATCAAGCGGCATTATGTGATGGCTATTTATTCATTGTCAGGTTACTGCCCAGCAATGTCTCTCTGCTAAGCACTTTATTAATTCGAGTATTTTTATATTCAGGTGTACTATGTTAAGGTAGTAATAGTTCGATAGTCTCCATCGTAATTGGAGAGACCAATTCAATTGTATATGAAACTATTTGTACTTGACAGGTTTTGAGCTTGATTTTGGACATGAACGAAAGGCAATTCAAGCACTAAATTGGGAATTGGGATTTTGTCAAGCCAAGCTTGAATGTAGAGTAGAGGTGAAGAATGCAGTTACAGTCAAGGGTAAAGTTAAAGAAAGACGAGGAAAAGGAGGCAGAGTAGAGGATTGGATATGATTTTGGCAGATAACAAAGGGGGTTGGAGATGACATTAGCAATATCCATCCAGCGCAGGGCATGGGGGTTTCAACTGTCATCATGTGATTCCATCTCTGAAATCCCAACCTCATCCATTTAAATCTTGGAGAGCGTAACCATCCAAGTTTGGGCGTTTTCCAGTCCCAGCATTTTTTTCTTAACCTGGTACTCTTGAAACTCTTCAAACAGTATGGAGATGGAAAATGCAACTTAAAAGCGAGACGGTCGGGAAAGGTCGATCAGATACCAAGCCAACAAGGAGAAACAGACAAAAGAATAATGATTTTCTTTCTAACAGGCATAGAAAGTAGAGAGCGCTGTTGGACAGGAGAAATTGATGATGCCTGGGAATTGGCCAAAAAACTATAATTGGACCTGGTACGAGTATATGTCAGCTGAACGCTGATAGAATCTGCTGTTTCCCCTTGTTTCACTTGTTGTTCAGCGAAGAATCCGCTGTTTCCCCTTGTTTCACTTGTTGTTCAGCGAATCTTCCTTTGCTTTCTGATGATATGCAAATCAGTGGCAAGACAGTGGGCATGTGACAGTGCCTTGGAAAGTAATACTTAACAGCCTCTATTCTTCGAGGTTTAATTAATTTTTTCCTTGGCTAAACTAAAACTAAATTACAAGATGACAGAACATGACTTCTTCCACTAATAAATTAACGCTGATTGACAAGAAAGTGATTTTCGTTTCTTTGCTTAGGAGGAGGGAAAAAAATTATTTTCAGGTATAAAAGTTTTTGTGGCCAGCTGGCTTAGGAGTTGGGACCTGCTTTTGGGTAAAGGCTGTGGCCTGTGAAGGTCAAGTGGACGCCCGAACCCAGGTTAGCTATCGGCTTTGGGTTTCGATTCAACCCATGATTATATTCAATCCCAAAACATATTTTTTGAACGAGACAACATCAATTCTAAACCCATTTATAGGATACCTAATTCTTAAAGGCATTTTAAAAAATAATCTCTAAAAATAATATTTTTAAAAATATTTTTTATAATTTTAATATTTTTAATTAATTAAAAAATTATCTTTAATAAATTATAAGTCAAGATGTTACACACTGTGTACAGAAACATGTTACACGTCATGTACAAAAACGTGTGACACGCCATTAAAAAAACATAGTACACCCTGATTAAGTTATTACACGCTATGTACAAAAACGTGTGCATGTCATAGTTAAGTTGTTACATGCCATGTATAAACATGTTACACGCCATGGTTAGGTTGTTACATGCCATATTAAAAAAAATACTGTTGTTACACGTCATGTACAAAAATTTGTTACACGTCATAGTTAAAAAAAAAGTTATTACACGCCATGTTGAAAAACAAATACTGTTATTACATACCATGTTGAAAAATATTATTGTTACACGTCATATTCAAAACATTTTGTTACACTTTAATGACTAAACTGTTGTTGTTACTTACAAACCAAAATTTCAAATCTTCTCAATTTTTTTTTTGTTTTTATATTTTTTGATAATTTGACACCGATTAAAGTGTTTCTAACATGTTTTTATAAATCAAAACACAAATTTTCTTATCTAAAACACCTATTTGAGTAAAAATCGAAAAAACTTTTCATTGAAAATCTAAGTTTATAAATTTAAAATTTTTGAGTTTATTGGTGTCTAGATCTTGAATTGATCCGATTAAAAGTTATTTCAAATATCTGTGATCATTTCTAGTGTTTAGTTTTATCCAAAATATCTAAAAATCAAATTCTTCAAAAAGTCATCTACTCAAGCACATTAAAACCATACTTCAAAGTGCTGGAAAGAAAAATCTGAAAATGAAAAGGAAATTTGAAGCATAGAAGACGAATGTCGAAGAGAAAATCGATAAAATTAGAGAGAGTGAGATGTTGAGAGAGAGAAAATTCGAAAACACAAATGAAGAAAAAACTGTAATGAATGGTTTAATTTATTTGAAATAGTTTCAAAAATATTTTCATCGAGTCATGACTAAATATGATTAAAAATAATTAAATTTATTTTGATGTTATTTTTGAAATGCTCTCATCAATAAAAGTTATTCCTCACAATTTCTTCTAATTCTTATGTTAGTTGTACTTGTATTGAGTATGGTTCAATGTTCAGGAAAATGATAAGCATCGCCATGCTTGGGGACATAGAAAAAAAATAAGGTCCATAATGTTGGTTTGCCTAGTGAAATAAACTTGAAATGGAACTGAATTACATTTTCCAGTAATTTGCCTAATTATCTTTTACCTAGTCAATAAATGCAATTTCGTATTTTGGAATTGCTTGAGAGTTTAGACTAACCAAACCAATTAGGGATAATTAACAAGAGTAATGTTATTTGTTTGATTTGATTATTCACAAATAGTATGACATAGTAATAGATAACAATTTTAATGAGTATTTATTTTTATAAGTATTTAGATTATCAAACTGTCAAACAGTGTAACATTTTTCAATAGAATCCCACAAGCCTAGCATTTTCCCAGAAAAAAAAAATAACGGGAAAAAAACCCATCACCGCTAGCTTGCAAATCAGAGAGCTAAGCCAACAGCTTTGCTTAATGCTGCTCAGACATGGTGATCGACAACTCCAATAAAAAAATATATATTCGTATTCAAAGCTGACGTGGATGTCCTTCTTAGAAAAGACAAAAAAAAAATAGAAATGGAGAGCTGAAAGCAAAAACCAACTTACCAGTCAACTGACAAAACTACCGGTCTCACTTAGGGACAGCAATTACTATTGTCACTCCCGTTTTGACATCTTCCTACTTTCGACACAGTTACTTCTGGCTAAAATCTTTCTTTGACACTTCTTGGAAACAATAATAAAGTTCCTGGCGCTAGCCATTTTCCTTCTCGTTATCTTCTAGTGGTAAGCTTTTGTCAATCTCTATTTTGCTTCCTTTTCGCTTTCAACTGATTATTCTTCAATTCACCGTTTCTCTTTTGGAGTTCTCTATCTATCGCTGCATCTCTCTGTTTTTCTCTTTCTTTCTTTGAATTCTGATCAAAGGGTCAATGGCGAGGACAAGCAACAAGAACATACAAGCCAAGCTGGTGGGTATGTCTTTCCCTTTTTTCTTGTTTTCGGTTTTGATTTAATGATTGGTTGTTTGGTTTAAACAAGGAAATATTCTGATCTTTGATTCAGAACAACTGTTTTTCTTTTTCCACTGTAAACATGATCTTGATGCCTTTACGATCATGAAAATGCTTTGAAGAAGCATATTCTTGCAAACACAAAATGCCCCTTTTGGAAGTTCTTGGTTGTAATATTTTCTACCCTTTTGTTTACCTGTTCTTTTGATTTAAATCCTGAAAACAGTACTTACATTCATGAGCTTGAACTGATTTGTTGCAGGAGATCAATGGAGAAAGTGCTTCTTTTTGTTGATTGGTTTCCTATTTTCTTGTTTCTATATAATGTAGAATAGAGTTCTTCCTTGTCTTTCAATATATTATATGAACCCGAATGTTCAAGATATGATTTGTCTCTGTTGATACTTTCTAAAGAACTAAGTTTATTGAGACAGTTATAATTTGTTATTTACTAATGAATAGTCATGAATGGCCAAAAGAAGAGGTAAAACTGACATGATTTTCTTCTCAGGTACTTCTTGGGGACATGGGAACTGGGAAAACAAGCTTGGTATTGAGATTTGTCAAAGGGCAATTTTTCGATTTCCAGGTTTATTTTCATTGCACAATCTATTTTCTGCCTTTGTGATATCATCGAGGTATATGTCATCTAATATAATTGTATAATTAATGCAGGAATCAACAATTGGAGCAGCCTTCTTCACTCAGGTTCTGTCGCTGAATGAAGCCACCATAAAGTTTGATATATGGGACACAGCAGGACAGGAGAGATACCATAGCTTGGCTCCCATGTATTATCGTGGTGCAGCTGCTGCTGTTGTGGTATATGATATCACAAGCTCGGTAACTTTCTGTCAAGCTTTGGATGTTTTGTATTCTTCAAAATGTTTACTCTGTTTTAATTAAACATCTCTGAGTTACATGATGTCCTTATGAGTTTGAACTTCACCAATGGGGATCAATCAAACCCAAAAGATACATCGATACAAGCTGTCATGATGAAATAGCAAATATAGGAAGAGTTTGCATGTCTGACCTAGATACTCTATCTGCAAATCTAGCTATAAAAAACTTGCCTAATTAGTACTTATGGATTGTGGCATCCCCCCTCATTGTGTTCTCCCTTAATTTTAAACAAAATGTCCATGAATCAGCTATTTCCTTTCTGCTTTTTTGCATTTTTGAAAGACATACCATTTATCAAAGGTGCAGGTTTTAAAATTATTTGTGCAGTAGTCGATAACAACTGACAAGGACTTGGATTTATGTAGGTCATAAGAATATAGTTGAATCAAAGTTTCCTTCTTTCATTTTTTTTCTGAAATACAAATTTTCTTTCTTTAATGCTACTGCCATCATGCATTCATGCTTTTGTTGACATTGGATGTCCATCTGATGAGATGATGGTTGGTCTTTCAGGATTCATTCGTGCGTGCCAAAAAATGGGTCCAGGAACTACAAAGACAAGGTAACTGATAAATTTAAATGTTTTAAATGATTTATTCTTCAGAGTGAAGTTCAGTGGAGATCTTTGTGCCCTTCACCATTTCTTTTCTGATAGATCCTTATTGCACGCTCCCCTCTTCCCTTTGCAGATGAGGTTGCTGTCTTTAAGATGTTTACTCTATTACTGATTTTAAAGTACCTGTCCCTTTAAATTTTGAAGAATGAGTTCTAGCTTGGTTTATTCTAAAAATTTAAACATTTGACCAGAAGAATAACATATGTGTGTTGATGTTTAAATCTATAGATCGGTTTGAATTACTGACTTAAGTATCCTGACAATAGAACTAATAATTCTAGCATGTTTCTTATTTCTTAACATATTGTTTGATTCATATTACACTGGTTCAGGAAATCCAAATTTGATAATGTTCTTGGTAGCAAACAAGGTAGACTTGGAAGAAAAGAGAAAAGTGGGAAGTGAGGTATCTGCAATCCACTATTTGCTTCAATTATCTGTTTTTTTTTTTCTTTTTCTACTTGAAAGATTTGAAATTAAGGCCCCACCTCCAGGAGCTTTAGGTTGACTACTGCTACGCTAGGACATCTTAAAATTTTGCTTTACGTTGTTGATAATTGCATACTATTGTCAAAGATGTTATCAGGACACTTCAAAGAAGGCTCCGATCAGCATTCAGGTTACTTTGGGTTATTGCCTCAGTTAGTCTTAGGCTTAGTCATAGGATGCACTTTATTCAGCAGGCTAGACCTCAACATGGGTGAAGCAGTCGTTGATCACATCTTAAATGAATCTGAGAAAAAGACTGTACTATACTGTGTTTTTATTCTTGTTAATGTCTTTCAGAGAAAATTCATGCTACATAATATGAAGGCCATGTTACCATCACCTAGAACAGGGATAAGGGAAAAAATCAAATTGAAAATACAGAATAACACCTATATATGTTGACGTCAGTCCTACTGTTTTATGCAGGAAGGTGAGCAATATGCCAAAGAAAATGGCTTGACTTTCTTTGAAACATCAGCAAAGACTGCCCAGAATGTCAATGAACTCTTTTATGAAATAGGTAATACTAATACTCTGTTTTATTTCTTTAGGGTGTTCATATTCCCATTAAAAATATGCAAATTATAAGCCATTTTCTTCCTATATGATTCAGCCAGAAACTTATCCTGTCTCACTTTTTATTTTGTTTGGTCTATGGAAGTAGGCTATAGCTAACTTGCCTCAATGCATATATAGCATAATCTATTAGTACTAAAGACAGAAAGGAAATGATCTTTGGATACTGTTCAATAGCTTCACTAGTATCATCAACCACATGGCTGATTGACCCACCCAAAAGCTTGCTCTCATATTCTACACATTATAAGTTAAGCTTGGGCAAATCTTTATGCTCATTTGTTTTTTGACTCCAACTGGAGCATAATGTAGCTACACTGAATATGGCTCACACAATTATATAGTAGATCATAATTTTTTCTAATTAATTTGCTTAGTCACAGATGTTACTAGTTATCTATCATTTAAATTGATGATACATGTTGTTATCCCTGACACAAGAAACAGCTGCACAACATGTACCAAATAAAAAAATGAATCAGCTGACCAAGAGCTTGAGCAAATCTTTTGGAACATGAAATTAGCTTAAGTTTGAGCAATCTATTTTTATGCAATTTACATTTGCTTGTTTGTACCCCTTTGTTGATGTCAATTTTCAAACACCATCTGAACTTCTTTCTTGTGCTCATGCACTCTCTTGCAGCAAAGAGAGTGGCAAAAGCTGCTCCTTCTCGGCCAACGGGAATGAAACTGCATAGCAGACCGCAAGAAAGTGGAAGAAGATTCTTCTGTTGCTCCTGATGATATGAGGGCTAGATGTCCACTTGTACGTAATTTGTATTGATGTCTTAGTTCTGACAATTCAGTTTTCATCTGAATAAATCTATGCATTTCCCCTCCATTACAAGCAATCTATTTTTTGCCTCACTTATTAACTTAACAGGTTTTCTCAATTAATAGTTTACAATTCATTGCAGGTTGTCAAGACTGAAGACTAAGCTGATTTCTGGCCTAATCCACTTTGATGAATTTCTGTGTATGTACACTGCTCAAACACAAAAGCTTTCTTGCCATTTTTCTAAAGTGCTCATTTTCTGTAAGAAATGATCATGGAACTCCTGAAGAATAAAATTCAATGCAAGGAAATGAATTTGATCACTGAACTATTAGGGTTTATGTGCAATGTGGCGAACGAGTTGAAACAATATAGCCTGTAGATTAAAGAATTCACTAGCAAATAGTGCAAGTTGTATCAAAAGTATTATACAAGAAAAGCTACTCTGCTTTCATTATTAAAATTTTTGGGCCTAAGTTAATAGTTTTTTTCACTCAGAAGCCAAATGAATCAATGAAAAGAAGCACCTGAAAAGTATTACTTATTATGTTGCAAGGAATATAAGCAAGCTGAGTTACAACGGGAAGTTTTTTGTACTCAGAAACAAACTTTAAAGAGCAATAGCTCACCAAATTATTGCTGGCATTAAAGCCACTTATGTCTAGTTGTCCTTTTTGCCTGTCACGATGCTTCCACCAGTGCTTACAACACTCCAAAGCGTCTAATATAGCCTTGTCGATTGTTGAAAGCATATATTGAAATTAACAGATTCTTTCTGTCACGTATCCAAGTGGATACGTAAAACAGATCCTAGACATGAAAAGTAAATAAGGCCTTTGCAAGTTTTCCACTTCCCAATTTCCATACATCAATCATTAATTTCTAAGTTGATATGAATTCTCCGTTATGCTGGACAAGTTTCTTTACATAATCAAGTAGGTTAACGTTTGAGCTCTTTCCTCCGAGTAACTATTGATCCAGTTTATAATCAGCAATGAACAACAAGGATTGACCCAGTGGTCAGTAATCACCTAGCCCACCGTGCGGGGTCTTTCCACAGGCTAGGGAACAAATCCAGGTTCTGTATCTCCAAGAGGATCATGAACCATGTTGTCTTACGCTCTAGGACCCCTCCTAAAAAAACATAGAAAATCTGCAGTGGCTGCCCTCCTGCTGGCTTAAGTTTAATCAAATATTCTTGTCACTTTCCCAAGTTAAATGATCCTTCGTCAATGGTCGTAGTCATATGCGGCATATTGCAGCTCACTAATTGGGCTTTATTAGCGTGATTCACTTGCAGCCTAAGGAAAAATTTTCCTTTAAAGTGCAAGAAAACTTGGTGCAGAACAAGCCACTAAACTGATAGGCAGCATGTTACAGGCATTACTCCAGAACAAGCTAAATGTGTACCAGCCGAGGGTAAGGGGCAGTGCTGGATTTTTGTCTCTTTCAATTTTAAGGGTATTTCCACCTATCAAGGCAACGGAGACCAGTGCCCAGATAATCACAACACTTTGACAAATCTATGCTTAATAAAGTCAGTAAGTTCAGAAACTGAAGCTTCTTGCCCTATGCAGCTCATAGAAACCAACAAGACATGTCATAATATAATGTGGACAAAGCCTCGCAGGTGACAATTTTTGTGTTGTGGCTTTTATAATGCATAGAAATCACCATTCGAGGCCCCTCAAAAACAGAGAGTTTTTTTTTCCAAGTATTTCTTTTGGTCTTTTAGTATCGTTGTCTGTTTGCAATGTCACATGCATTACACATTATCCCGAAAAACAAAACCATAAAGCTTTGTTTTCTGCTGTCAACAACTTTCCGAAAACACCCACACAAGCAAATGCCTACAAGAAAGCATTTCTGCAAAGAAAAAAAGACGACGAGAAAGTAGGAATTTTAGTTAGCATGGGCTGCGGCGTGGCTTAGGTAGCCGAGCCATGGCCACGCCTGCAAAAGAAAAGTAGTTAGCAATCTTAGAAGACTCATGTTTTATCTTTTTCTTCTACAGCTAGCCACCATCTCCGTCGCTATATTCACAAAAAAAACAAAAGATAAAAAACCAGACCTCTCAAAGCTCACAGACAAAGAGAACAAAAAAGAAACAAAAAATAAAATAAAATAAAATAAACGTTGCATTGCCAAGCTAGTTTTGACAGAAACTCTAATCACCATGAAGGAGAAGTGCATGGAGAACCTGAAGAAGATGATGAAAGACCATTGTTACTGTTGGAATCACTAGCTGAAGTGCCTAAAGACCTAGCATCTCTAAGAGAGACGGAACAAGCCTGAGCTGGGAGCTTCTTCATTGGACTCAAAGGAGGTGTCATTGGGGGCGAGTACAGTACTCTAACAGGATCCGAAGGCTGAGCTTTCTCATCATCATCCCCTGAAGAACCGCTGCTTTCTAAACGTGAAGGCGATGTATCCGGAGTCTCGAACGGAGTATCTGCCCTGATTGGCCTGCCTGCGGCATCATTGTCGTAAATAGGGTTCGATATGTAAACAAAATTCTCCGCACGAGGAGCACCACAAGCTTTCTCTTTACAAGTAGTAATAGTAGTACTCCCGGTGCCAACTTGAACTGAGATTTCTTGAACAGGCCGCGGTGAGGTCGTCGCAAAGGAAGTTGTTGGGGATGTAGAAGATAAGATACCGATTTGCTGAGAGCTTGTGTTTGACTCTTGGGGATGAACTTCAAGGACTTGATGTAGTAAAGTGAGATGGTTCTCTTTTTCAAGCTTCTTCTTTTGTTTGCAAGGGAGTGAAGGGAAGAGAAAGTTCCTTGGTGCATGAAGAACTCCTTGTGCATAGAAGCTACTAAGGGGACTGGTTGATTGGTGATCTTGGTTATGACCTTGAGGAGAACGGGAAGAAGTAGTATTGGTGGGGCTGGCGGCCGCAGTGGCCGTAGCTGTGTTGCTAATGGTAGCGTCGGAGGTGGATTCTTTGAGCTGACGCCTGCGGAGTAAGAGAGAGCAGTAGAGCTCCGCTAGCAGCACTACGATTAGACCTAACACAATGGCAAGGCTCACCACCATTACCAGTGTTGCACCCATGATTACCTTGGATGCCCCCTTCATTTCTCTCTCTCTCTCTCTCTCTCTCTGTCACTGTTTTTTTCTTGTGTGGACCGAGGACTGGGGGAGGAGACAGTGAAAGAGGACAGTAATTAAAGGAGGGGTAAGAAGCATTTTTTGGCGGGAAATAGTCCCTTACCTTCGACAAGGAAAGTAGATAGGATGGGAATCTTGTGAGGCTTTGGGCATAGGGAATATAAGGCCTCTTTTGTTCTGAGAAGCAGAGTATTCTTTTTTTAACCTCCTGACATTTAAGGTCGTAATGGTCTCCTTTTAACTGCAACATGGTTTGATGCATCATCAGTCACCGTGACTTTCTCTGCTCTGAAGCCTAAAACAGTTCAGACCCACTCAAATTATCAGTGCCTTTACGCCCATTCAGAATTCCCTTCTCTGTTTTCTCCCATTTATGGATGACAACATCTCATAAGGGAAAGAACTTTAAAATTGTCCCATTAATATTTTAGGTGTGACAATGGATATCAATATCATAACGTTTCAGTACTTTATAATTGAATTTGAAGCAAATTTAAATAACAATGTTAATTTCGTTCTTGATTTGAGTAAACCATAATTAAAAAAATGAAAAACCCAATACTTTAGTACAACATCTATTATTTTTGTGCTCAACCTAAAAATACAACTATTCAAGACAATACAAGATCACAAATATGAGATGCATTTACGTATCTACACACGTCTATAATGCATAACAATGTAACCCTTCTAGCACTACAAAATCAAATTAAAACCCAAACAAAAAAATTCAGGACTTATGACCACAATTTTGAAGAAATTATGAGACAAGTTGTCATCATATCCAAAATAGAAAGGCAAATGAAGACACTGATTTGTTGGACCAAGGGCGTATAAAAAATCTATCTAGCTCTTCTCATTTTACGACAAGAACATTTATTAAATATAAAGGACAGGGGTGGGGATTTAATAGGACTTCAACTCTGTTTTATGTACGAATATATCTAGACTCGTTGAAACAGAAAGACAACCTGATTAGATAGCTTTAACCTTTTATGTTAATCGCTCAATAAAAATCTAGTTTGATTTCTATTCCGCTCCTCCATATTTGGAAGCACAAAGGTGTTTTCTGTGCACATAAAATGAATGGTTAGGTTAAGAATCAAGCCATAAATGGCTTTAGCATAATTTTAGTGTTGCAGCAAATTTTCCCTCTAATCATAATTTTTTAATTAAGTTAAACCACAATTTATTAACAAACGAGAGTTAACTTATCCTAGGCAATAGGAATAGCAATCGGTACCTTATTATAGGGTACTTCAACCTATTATATCGAGTTATGGTACTTTATGATTGGATTTGAAATGAGTTCGGATAATGATTTTACTATTCATATAGGGTTTAAGTACTACCCCTTGGGTACTCGCTACTTAACTCGATTATGTTAATATTCGGAGTTACGCAAGTACTTACCCCGAACTCGATCCCGATCCCAATACTCGTATATATATATTATTTAAATGATTAAATTAAAAATAATCAACATGAGCATGTTCATTAAAAGTTAAAAAATATATTAAAAAGTATGACTACTCAAATTATTAATGTGATGATATTAATGTATTTAAATTAAAAAATTATTAGATTCTTAATTATGTTTATATAATATGAATATCATATTATATTATAAATTAATATAATTACTATTATATATACTTTAAATATAAATATATTTATTTTTTATTTTGTGTTAACATTATAAAAATTATAACTTATAATATATATACTTAAAAGAGAGTATTTGAGATTAAAATAGTTTGGAATCTAACTATTTTTGTTAATTTCATGTAATTAAAGATAAACCCATATAGTTAGTTAAATTAATTCATTAAATTATGATTATTAATTAACTTGAAATGTTTTTTAATATATACATTATATATATTTGGTTCATTTATAAGAAATATAATTATTATATTATATATATACTAATACTTTTAGTATATATATACTTTAAATATAAATATATTTATTTTTTATTTTATATTAATATACACTTTTGTTTATATAAATTTATAATATACAAACTTTAAGAGAAGTTATGAGAATAGAATAGTTTTGAGACCTAATTATTTTTTTTAATTTCATGTAATTAAGGACAAACTCATATATTTAATTAAATTAATTCATAAAATTATGATTATTAATTACTTTGTAATTTCTTTTAATATATTTACTTTATACATATTGAGTTCATTTATAAAGAATATAATTTTTATTTATATATAGTAATATACTTTTAGTGTGTGTGTAATATTACAATTTAAATATAAACATATTTACTTTCTTATTTGTGTTAACATTACAAAAATTATAACTTATAAAATTATAATTAATATATATATTCCTTTGTTTATAAAATATAATATATAAATTTAATTATCTAAAAAGAAGTTGTGGATTATAATATGTTTGAAACTTAGCTATTTTTTTTAATTTCATGTAATTAAGGAAAAACTCATATAATTAATTAAATTAATAATTAATATATTTAATTAACTTGTAATGTCTTTGAATATCTATACTTTATATATATTGGTTATTTATAAGGAATATAATTACTATATATATAACACTAAAATACTTTTAATATGCATATATACTTTAAATATAAATATATTTACTTTTTATTTTATGTTGACATTATAAAAATTATAACTTATAAAATTATTAATTATAATATATATACACACACACTATAGAATATAACTTGTAATGTTTTTAAAACATATATTATTATTCTATATTATGTTCATTTATAAAGAATATAATTATATTATATAAGTTAATAATTACTAAAAATAAAAATAATATTGATTATATTATATTATGTTCATTTATAAATACTTATAGTTTGAGTATTTAAAATTAATATTTATTGTTTGTGTTTTTATTAATTAATTAGTAATTTGTTATATAAAATATATAGAAAAATATTATTATATATAGATATAGGTTTAGGTTTGGTAATTGGGTACCTATAAAAATATTTAATAATTTTTTTATTAATCAAGTTTTTAAACGATCAGAGTAATTATAAGATAATAGAAATGTATTAAAGTTAAGGTTAGGGTATAAATTTTTAAAATTATTTAAATAATTAATAAGTTTGAGTTTTAAATTTTTTCAAAATTAAGATTAAATACTTAAAATATCCTATCCATTGACAACCCTCCTAAACATTGTTATTCAATAATAAGAAATATATATATACGAATCTAATTGTTATATACTAGCGCTTGAGGCCCAATTATCCCTAGCCAAAGGTCCATAATTAGAGCCATCATACACATGGTCTACTAAACCAAACGCCACTTGTTTCCAAAGGATTCTGCGCGACTGCCAACTTTCCCAATAAAAGATTCAGTCAGGAGCCTTTTTAAATAATATTTTTTTCTTAGTGATTATATTAATTTATTTAATTATCAAACGAACAATACTTACAAAAAATCATAAATTAGTTGAAATGGAGTAATAAATCTAACCTCGTTTAATTGAACCCATTTAATTAAACCTAAATATTATCGAATTTAAAGTTTTAAAAACTTGAAATCACTTCAAACTGAATTTTAATTAAATGTAAACATTCTACTTGAAATCACTTCAAGTTGAGTTTAAGGCAATATTACTTTAATTAAAATAAATATTTTTGAAATCAAAGTTAAAAGAAACTTAAAATCATTTAGGTTGAGTTTCAAAATGATGTTACCGTTTAATTGAGTGTAATATTTTGAATTGAGAGCTCAAAAAAACAAAATCTTTACAAAAAGTTTAAAGATGATACCACTTAACATAAGCATTCTCAAATTCAAAATTCAAAAACATTCAAATTTCTACAAGCTAAATCTTCCAATACGATGCCATTTAATTGAGTAGATATTTGCTAAGAAAATTAACTACTCAAAATCTCTACAAGCTAAATAAACAAAATTAATAAGTAGATATTTTGTTACTTAATTGAGTAGATATTTTGGTAAAAAATGAATGAATAGATATTTGATATTTTGCTAAAAAAATTAACGACTCGAAATGCTCTGAATAAAACAAAATTAATGAAGCTGAACTAAAAAATTAATGGGTAGATGTTTTGCCATTTAATTGAGGAGATATTTTATTAAAAAAACATTTTGCCACTTAATTGAGGAATATTTATTTTTTAATATTTTGCCTCTACAAGTGATGTAGATAAATATTTTGTCATCTAATTGAGGAGATATTTTATTAAAATTTAATATAAGCTGAAAAAAAATATTTGTGCCTCTACAAATTGAACTACAATCGATGAAAAAAAAAATTCAAGCTGAAGCTAAACTAAACAATACAAGACTGATGAAAAGAAAAATTAAAAATAAAATTTTGTAGACGGCCTGGTGGGAATCGAACCACGACCACATGGTTAAAAGCCATGCGCTCTACCAGCTGAGCTAAGACGGCTAACTGTTTAGAAAATTATATAACAATTTTTTATCAAACTAATAATTTCGAATTATAATATTTAAGACCGTGGAAATGTAAAGTACATCAAAGACAACAGTGGCCTAGTCTTTTTGTTTTTTTACATTGCTGGAGTTCCGTTTCCACTTCCTCGTTGTTTTCTTCTGTTTTTCATTTCATTCCTTCGACGAATGTCATGTCTGAGCGGACAACCGCACTCTCTCTTTACTGGATTTTTGTTGCCTCTTTTCAATTCATTTTTGGTCTAGAAATTTTTCAAATGGCAATTCCCTTACTTGGATTTTCGTTAAGAGGTACACCGAGTTGCTACCCTATGTCAACAATTTTAGTCTTTTAATTACTATATTGTTCTTTCTCCATCTTCTAATCTCCTAATTTTATTGCTAATTTTCGTGGAATCTCCTAATTACTTGTATTAGATTAATTGTTAAAATATAAGTTTTATGATAGAGGAAGAATTTTTATACATGTTACTCTTTTGTAGTTAAATATCATGAATCAGGTATGAAATTTATGGTATTGTTGGAGTCAATCCATCAAGTAATTATGCATGTAACAATGTGTGACAAATGTATTTTTTTTTTTAAAAAAAAAAATTGTTTAGTTAGAATATAGTCAATTTGATTTCTCAACTAAATTTTATCTGTGTATTGGAACCAATGCATCTAAAGCGATTGTTCATTCTTTTATTCATTACATGTAAATTGTGTTTTGGAATGATATTTTCTTCTTGGAAGGCTAATAATACACACTATGGCCATTTTGATGCTTCATAAAGAAGCTCTTTTTCTCATCATCCTCTTTTTATTATTAAAAACAAATTGTTCAATAATCAATACATTCTATTGACAGAAGATCAGTTAAATCAGTCATAAGAAGAGTATCGTGCGAGAAAAAGAAGCATAAATGGAAAGACAAATTAACGAACTTGGAGTGATCTGTGGTTAGGAGTTGATTACCAGCTATTACAGGTCTCTCATTGTGTTTGGCTCAGGACGGTTTCCCTGTCAAAATGTCAGCACAGACTGAGCACTTAAAAGGTACTAAAGGGTCCACCATTGTCATTCAAAGTAATTTGAAGCATTCAAATGCTCAAAAATATATATGAACTTGGCAGGTTAAGGATACGATACAACGGAATTTGTTCCTTATGGTGATCAACAAGAATATTCAGCTATTACCAGCTAAGAAAATGGAAACCAATATATGTTGGCACTGACGGATAGGTAAAGCTAATTTTTCATAAACAAGGTGATTCAAACCTGGATAAATTACTTGAACATTGCAAGCATTGGCCAACAAAGCCAACTTTGGAATCTGAGATACATGGTTAATGAAAATTTATAGTAGTACCATTTAGAACTTAACGGGTTCAAGTAAAATTTGGGTACTAAAATCAAATTTCAATAAAGTTTTAAACAGTTTAGAGTAGCTTTGAAGAAATTTGGGTACAAAGATCTCAAAAATAACATGTACCTTACCAGCTGCAGGAACTTAATATTAACTTTAATACCATTGAACCAATCTCAATTCTCAACTTAATATCCACTAATACAGAAACTCGTATCATTTCAAGCTTAAATGCATAGATTACACATCTTGTACAATCATGTCATCCAAAAAAATTGAATCAGGAAGTGTATATATGCTTGTTACGGCCATGGGTCACAGGAAATAGTAATAACGGTGCTATAAACACATAAGAAAGTATACTCAAACTACTAAGCAATATGTATGTTAAGTGCAAGGCCAACAATGCAGGGGCACCACCTATCCCATCGAATTATCGCTCAAGAATTCTGCAAAAGACGGCGCCAGCACCAACTCAGCTATGCAAATGCAGGAAGTTTACGCTTGATGCAATCAAACTGATTAGATTAAAAATAATGATTTCAATATGCTTAATCCTCTATCTCCCTTTCATTGCAGCAAAGTGAGCGGCCAAATCATCATAATCTGGTAACTTTGGATGCACATGCCGGGCAGCATTTGACATATCTTGCTGGAAGGATATAGCACGAGCATACACTTTAGTTCCCTCTGATTGAGCTGTTTGTTCATGAGGGAGAGAAATTGATCGGGCCGGATGGGAAATGGTCTTAGACATATCATCAGATCTATCTCTGCTTGCGATCTGTGGGACTTCACCCACATCACTTCCCATATGATGTGCATGACGACTTTTAGACTTTCTTCTTGCCTTTCCCTCATCACAGGATGATGGCTTCTTACTGTAATGCATCAACAGCTTATCAATTATCCTTTCCTCCTCATCATTTCTATGCTGCTCATCATCAAACAAGATTTGCAGGCCTCTTCTTGAGTCATCCCTTCTCCTGCTTCTCGGCTTCCTCCTTGCAAACTCTGTATCTTCAACATCATCGACTCCATTATGACCAGATGGTGATTTCAAATGTCGCCTCCTTGATGATCTTCGTCTTGATATGGGGGTATCGCTCCCATCGTGATTATAGTAACAATCTTTTTCACAATCATTACTAATCACTTTTGTAGGTGGAATTATCTGCCCCTCTTTATCAGGATAATACAAACCTTCTTGGTACTTATCAGTTCTATTGACTGCATAGGCCCTGTTATGTGTTGAAGGATCAGCAGAGACTCCATTGCTGTCAAAACCAGCATGTGAAGATCCTTCACTGGCACCATGCTTGAGATCCTTTGGTTTGATATTGGGTTTAACATAAGGAGGAGGGATGCCACTATTGAAGTAGGGCTTCCACTTGGGTTCATCTTCCTCATGAGCCTTTCTTGTTGAATTTTGGACATTGTATTGGCCAGCATAGTTATTAGCAGCAAAGAGATCTTTATCATGACTCTTTAATTGTGGAGCTGCATAACTAGGATCTAGATCTGGCTTTCCCTGTGGTAGAACATCTTGGTTATCTATTCTAGGTACTCTATTCTCCCTACTGTTTTTTAGCTTGGCTTCACCATGAACTGTTTCCATTCTTCTCACATGAGAAGAACTGCTTAATCTGGCTGTTTTCAAGGCAACATCATCCTTCCCATTCCAAAATTCAAGCTTACCAGCAGAAACTTCTTGCTTTTGCCTCAATGGAACGTCATGATTCTCCTTCCTTGGGAAAGCTTCCTCCCTGCCATTATGTGGCTTGTACCCCTCAACAGACAATTCCTGTTTAGGTGGAAAGATAAGCTCATCTCTTTTTGACACATTATCCTCCTTGCGGTTGTGCAATCTATGCCCACCCTTACCCATATCAAGTTTTTCTTTAGATGAAACTTTAGGTTTATCCCCTTGTGGATCGGCACTTTTTCCATCATTTGATTTATGCTTATCACCATTGACATGGAAAGACCCATAATTTTTAGGTTGGTCCTACAGACAATTACAGAGATCAAAAGAGTTACAGTGTGAGTAGACCCTAGGATAAGCTCAACAAGAATGTTATAAAGGTCAAGATCAAACACAAGGAGAAGCATACCTGTGGAATCACAGTTGGTTTAGACATTCTTCGCTCAAAAGCTTCAGAGTTCCAATTTATGGAAAACTCTGATGCTATATCATGCATGACCTTGACTTTCTTCTCCATTTTGGATGGATTTGAAGCTGAATTCTCGACGAGCTATCATGAAATTTTATATGGTTGGTCATAAAATGCAGTGATGGAAGCATAAATTATTCTCCTTTTGGAGTGGGACATCAGAAATTTACCTGTTTATTGACAAATAATTCCAGGGAATTTCCATATCTCTCATGAAATATTTGCCTAAGATCACGCAACTCTGGCAAATCAGAGAATCTTGCAGCTGCAAACATTAGAGACGCAACAGCCTCCCTGCAATCTTCGGGGCAATCACTGTGTACATTTATTGACAAAAATAAGTAACTGATGTTCTGCTCTGTTTATTAATGATAATTTTAAAAAAAATAAATAAACAAGGAAGGTCACAATTTGTATCTCTTTATCAAAGTAAAATAAAATAAATTAAAAAGTATAGTCCTAAAACTACAACCCATCTTACACCCCCTGCAAAAATAAAAACCTTTTATTCTGAAGCATACTTTTAAGATGCTATCTTTTAATATGCTCAAATAGTCATGTCTTCCCTAGCATAAACTTAAAGCTAATATTGATATAACCGTAATATATAATAAAAACTAGATCCTTGTCTACTCTTAATAACTTTTTGAAATACCAAAACACCAAATCCATACAGTACACAGCAGTCCACAATCCTTTAAACTACTGCAATAAATCAGCAACTAAAAGAAGGCATACAAGAAGGGGAATCTGTGGAGGAGCCAGAACAAAAGTCTCATCGGGGAAATTTGCAATCTTAAAATCATTATAGTAAGAGAAATTTCATTTGCTTCTTTAGCAGACATATGTTTGCATTTTCAACAAAAATTTCCAACTAGAATAGCATGGTAAAACTTGGATGAAAAGATACATTTTAACAATTCCAACCTGAGTTACATTACTCAATCCTTGCAGTTTTAATAAACCGCCTTTTTCGGACCCAAAAGCATTTTATTACTTTGAATTCAATTTAAATGTTACTCCATTCATCTGCAAATCCAACTCCACATCATCAAAGTGTGACAGTCTTGACACCATACAAGAACATGAAAAGCCGAAAGTGTTCTACAGAGAAGAACGACAACCAAATCTTGCATTTAATTTTTCCACTGAAATGGCCACCTCCATCAATTACATGCTAAAATGATATGTAACTTGTAACTGTCAAATTAAAGTCCAGACAAGATGGGTCCTATTTCAGACTGCAGCACAATATGGTTGACAGCTGTATATTTCAAGCTTAATGTTATTGCCAAGAAATCGCACTAGATATGGCACCATCGAGAACCAGAAGAGAATAATAGGCAACTTTAGGAGCACTTGTTTTTGTAACTTACAGTTACCCTTTTATACCTATATTTCCACATCTATGCCAATACAAAACAGTAGGATGGGTATCACATTTAGAGTTACCATTATAAAGACGATGGTAAAATAAAATTTATCAAAGAGAAATAAAGAATACAACCACATATACCTCAGTTTTTGCATAACTGAAACATGCTTCGACACAAAATCACAACATTTCTCGACAAAATCGTAGCAACACGACAGGGTCAATTCAGCTATATATCCTTCCACCTGTTTCACCAACTCACAAAAAATCAACACAACATTAATCCAAGTACACAAAATCTATTAATTTTTTTCAAAAAAAAACTTCAAATACTCAAATTTCTAAAATCTAAAACCAAAAAAAAAAATCAAATTTTAAATTTTGAATGCTTCTTTTTTTTTTGTCCTACATTTTTATACTGAACATAACGATTAAAATTAGGAATAATAATTCAAAAAAAATTACCCTGCCATAAGCATTAATATCAAGGCCATTAGCGAGCAGATCAGCTATATCTTTCTTCAAAAACTTAAGCGTGGCACTTTTCTTCCTCCTTATCACATCGATCCGACTCTTTATCACTTTTATCAATGATTTACTGAAAAAAAAAAAACTCAGATCGATTTAATTTCCAAAAAAGAAAGAAAAAAATTAATAAACAACGCAGAGAAAGCAGAAACCATTTGGAAGCAAAACCACGGCCTAGGATTCCGTCCAGCATCTCCGATCACTCCTTTGTTCAACTCCGTGGAACGATTGGACTCAGAGAACTCAATGAGGACGCCGTAAACTCACAATGCAAATCAATAAAATGCAAGATCTGCCATTAAAGGAGAAGAGAAAAGTGCTTTGGTTAAGTTTCTTCAGTACCGTTTTTAAGACATTTTTTTCTGAAGGAAGTCCAGTTACTGCACTGAACTAAAAGAGGTATGCATATTTACCATCATATCCTTAATGTTTTCATTTAATGACTGGAATTTCCAGCCGATCGATCATTTAAACGTTACGAGGGTAGTTTAGGATATTGCTGAGTGTTTTAATTTGGTGCGGATAAGGCGGAAGGTGGGGTAGACCGTGGCCGTTGGATGAGGGAAGTGGGTCACGAAAGTGGACGGTGGATGGGAGTGTTTTTGTTCTCTCAGGTGGTTGAGAGAGGGAATCGTCTTGATTAAAGGGAATCTAATGAGCTGGATCGCATACTTAAAAAATTATTAATAAAGTGCTTAAAGCTCGTTAATTAAGTTTAATAATGATGATTTTCCGGTGGTTTTTAAGGCGAAAATTTGAGTACATGGTTTCAGAGTTGTTTCCGGAGTTGTCTGTGTACAAGGAAAATCAAACGGACATTACAACGATTTTAACTAGACTTCTGTTTGTTTAATAAAAAATGTTTTTTTTGTTTGTTTTTTCACAAATTGAGAAATGTGAAGTATGTTTATTATTGATTAGGTTCTATCTTAACTGCATTGCATGTGATTTATCACATTAGTTTTTGTTTTATTTTTAAATTTTGATTATAAAATTGATAAATTTATTGAATATTGTTTATATAAATATAATAAAAAAATTTATAATTATTATAATTAAAATTTTTATTATATTTGAAATTTATCTAAAATTAATGTTAAATTTTTTAACTTAATATGATTATAATTTAAAAATGTAATAATAAAAATTATAAGTCAACTAAATCATAAGTGAAAGTGATTCAACGGAAATATAGTTTTTATTTATGATCATTTCTTAATCGAAAAATAATTTGTTGTATTTAGTTTTTTCAATTTAAATTGAAAAATTTATTTAGTTTTTTGTTGTTTAGATAAATTGTGGAAAATATTTTTCATCGTTTGGATAATTATTTTTTGTTATTTAAGTGTTAAAATGATAAATAAGTATGGATTACAAAGTAATGGTGTCATTTGATTTTTATTAATTTGGAATCAAAATAAAGAATGGATATGAAAATTGGTTAAAGCAATAATAATATTTTTCAGCATCCAAGCATTTTGCTCATTAATGTATGATCTCCTGTCTAAAGAATAAGTCTCAAAACTTTTTTAATTATAAAATAATAATAATAATAATAATTTTTAAAACATTTAACTATGTATCTATAATTATATATAAAAAGAAGCCTTTGATGCCTTATTTTTGTGACACGTGGAGTGATAATTTTGTATCGTTTGGAGCTCTAATTGATTGACTTGTGTAAACTTTATATAAAATCACAATGCTTTCGTAAATTAAGTTGCTTAAATCCAATCAACGAGTGTTTATGAAACCAATTAAGCATGCTCATATCTGATTATTTTATTTAATGATTAGTGAAATACAATCATTTATATGATCCTAACTCTTATATAATGATACTTTATAATTAAGTAAGCTTTAATTAAAAAAAAAATCTATGTCATCACTTTTTTCCATAATACTAAAAATATCAATATTTATCAATTGTATAAAACATTCAAAACTTATACTTATTTATACTCATTAGAACATTGAAATATTTTTTATTATAATTATTAGTAAAATTTATTCAATTTATAGTATTGAATAATTTAAATATTAATATTTATACTTAAACATTAATATTCATCAAATCTATATACTTAGTCTTAGTATAAGAGTTTTTTTATATTATTTAGAAAATGTCTTACACCCTTAAAAGATGTAAAACATTTTTTATGATCAATGGTTGTTTTTCTTATTAACTCGTAAAATAGTTTACATTTAAAATAAATTTTCTGTCTTCCAAATAAACATAGCTCTTGAAAACATTTTCTGAAAAATATTTTATATCAAAACAAATGAACACTTATATATCAAACAAATCTTATTTCTATCAATTTATAAGTGTTGTATAAAATGATAATCAACAAGCTTTATCTTAAATGATAATTTAAAAATATAATGAATCGACATATCTATTTTGATAATTACACATATTAATATTTTTATGTATATTATAATTATAGATTATAAATATAGATAAATTATAGATAAATAGGAAGATAGATATAAAACATATATATTTGGTTTAGCTAGAGTCTTCTAAAATTGTTGCAAAGAGGAGTTAAAGTAGTGTTGTAAGATGTAAAAAACTATTTGATAATATTTTAATTTATTCTTTAGGGTTTAGGGTGATAACCGAACACCTTACTTCTACTTATAAACAGAAAAACTCTTCCATAAACTAGGAAAATACCCAGGTAGATGGACACTAGTTAAGGTGATAATTCATTTATAAAAATAATTTAATAATTAATTATTTATTTTTTCTGGAATTTAGTGTGAACAGTGTATTAAGTGAAAAAGAATTTTAAAAATTTTAAAAAAGCCAGTAATTATAATTTTTCTTAGAAATTAAAGAGAAGAGAGAGGCTTAGGTTGCTCTTCCACTCTGTCTGACAATGATGATCCGGTAGATATATATTAATATGCACAACCGAACAAATCCACCTGCAAAATGAGATAAATGGACCATGTTTATTCAACTACTTCATCAAGAGCTTATCCACCACTTAGAATATAGGCTTTTTCATTTCTTTCTTTTTCCACTTAAAGAGAAGACTTAGCGTCAGCCATGTTTTGTTTAAACAAAGCTAAAAAGTTAGTTTGGGTTGTCATTTTCAGAGAGGGAAGGGTTAGTCAAGAACCCCCAGGTTACTGAAATTGACTAACTTGCATTAGTTAGATGAATAAAATTTGAGTAAGGACAGGAAATTGGTCGTGCGGCAGATTATCTTTCGCCAACAGCTTGACGCCACATCAAACTTATCAAAAAGTTAAGTTTAATTGGGTTTGGTTGTGTAAAGCACGTGACTGATTCATCTTCTAGATGATCATTAAAATAAGAAAGAAAGCCCATTTAATCTTTCTATAGAGTGATGTTCATCCACTCCAAGGAAGTTCGTAAATTTAGTAATGATGTTGTGTTTGTTGGCTGGCTCTTTCTTTGTTTTGATCTGTTGGCATAGCTTCACTCTTGGAATGAGTGGGGGATTCCGCCATTGAAAAATTTGAGTTAGTATAGGGATTTGTCATTATTAAAGGATAACGTGACAAAGTTATCAGAGCAGAAGATAAGCTCAAACATCCATGGGTAAGGATAATTTTTCAAAGCAATTGATGGCATCAGTTTCATTTGATCAGCTATGTGGCTAAGGGTTCCTTTGTATTTATCTTGTTTAATTCATCACTTTGTACCTATCTTAACCGATTTAGACTTTGCAGAAATACTCCTTTGTACTCTATATATATCCTGTACATGCTTACAGATCATTTACCTTGTGGGGTTAGAAGACCATATATATATATATATATATATATATATATATATATATTCATTAATTTTCGGAATTAAAAGGATAAAATTAACCTTAAGCCAAGTTTCTTTTTGTTCATGGGAAGCACCGTGTTTTGCTTATCTTGGATTGTGCTGATGGATACCCAACAGCTTCGATCCAACTGAGCAGACAGGTGGACCCATGGGCCGTGACTCAAATGACAAAGCCCATACAAATTAGCAATAATATTTTAGTAGTAACACCCACAAAACTGATTCATTCATGCTATTACTCAACCCAACACTAGCCCTTCTTCGGAGCACCAACTAGCTAGTACTAACCAGTATTTACTATTCTATGATGTTTCTCAATTCTCAATGTTTTGGGTATATCTTTCCTTTTACTTCTGCCAAGAAATTTATGATTTTTTTTACACAAAATTACAAGAAAAAAAAAGTAATCTAATAAAAATTAAGGGCATTTCTTTTGCTTTCTTTTTATTAAAGCCAAAAGGCAAATTAAAAAGTTGGAGGGATAATTATTTAAGTTATATACCTATTTTCTTAGTTTATAATATAGCTATGAAATTAAATATATAATATTTTCATGTGTACAAGTAAAACCTACATTTGACCTTAAAAACCCAGGCAATTGGCCCATTGCTTTGCTTGTTATATCATCCTATTTCATAAAAGAAAACTAGTTACTTGCCAGACCTTAATTTCAGTTTTTCCGTGATGCTTAAATGCTGTACTATTAATTTGAGCACTGTTATATGTACATTATCTGTTCAATACAACGGTATCATATGTATTGGCATTCACATGAAACAGAGATTTCCTTTCCATGTTGATCATTCCTAGTTAATTACTAAAGAATTGCATTGAAATGTTTGGATTGAACGTGTCTTCCAACTGTATTCTTATGATATTACAAATGAAATTATTCACCAGAAATCAACAATTACAACTTCCTTTAAAAACAATTATGGCTGAATTAATCGATTGACTATGTAAAAATAAATAGGTCAAAGAGTATCGGAGTCGCTTGAAAACTTAGCTTGCAGGTTGAGTGGGTAGTAGTAGCGATATGTCTACCAAAAACACCTCAAGAAGTTGATGAGAAAATGGAACAGATAATTTTCTTGGTCTAACATTTCATGTCGAACCATTCCCTCCCAGATGATGTTCTGGGGCAGAAGATCACTGTAATATAGCAAGGTTGCGATGGAGGCTGCAGGCTCAGCGATTAACGATGTCAGTAGCCGCACTAGAGACCGAAACATAAGGGGTGTAAGAGACTGCAACAAAAGGAAATTAAAGAATATTGTCAGCTATATACATATATACATCGATGTCAGGAAGATAAAGACTTGGATGAAAGAGTGATGATAACCAACGAATGGAGCAGACCATGGATTAATCTGGGGAGTTGGAAACCCAGAAATATGCTGGAAATGGAACCTTGGAAGATGGACAGAGAAAGAGGGATTGGGGCCATTGAGTTTGAGTTCTCTAACTGTCAATCTCCAGGCTTCAGCGGACATTCAGACCTAACCTTCCATGTAGTCTGTCTTACCAGGACTAAATATTAATATGCTAGGACTTTGTAGCTAGAGAAAATTGGGTTGATGCACTGCTGGCAAGTACACTCAGATAAAAATGGTCTGCTCTTATCTGACTAAGCTGATGCCTGATGCCAGTAGAGCAACAAGTGGGCAAACTTTCTTTTCTAGTTTTAAAATCCTTCATAATCTTTAGATTGTCTATTAGTGCGACTCCATCCCTTTTTCCACTTTAGGGATGGTGGGCCTTTTCTTTTTATAAAGATGGATGGTATACCCAAGTAGAAGTTAGGATCATAGTAGAATGGAGATCAAATGTCAAATGTGTCATTATGGCCCAATAATATGTATTAATTAACCCAATACAAAAACCTTGGATTATGGTGACACCAACTTTAACTTGGACAAGAAGATAAAGGTTTCTATGAGCCAGAGATCCATGCACATGTTAGATCTTTACCACAGTTGGAAAAAACTATAGTTAAACACGTTTTGTGTACACCCACCATAGAGAAGAAGAAAGTGAGAAAACAGTTTTTATCAAGCAATAATGTAAATTTTTTTCTTTTTATGTGCAGATTAAATATATAAATCAAATGATTAATATAATCTTATTTTATATGTTAGATTAGATTTTTATAAAATTTATAAACCGAATAAGTGTTATTTGGCCCGTGATTTCGAGCTCAACGAATCACTTTAAACATTAGCATATATAAACAAATTTTATAGCATAACTCACCTCCTCCACCATAGTTCTTGAGTACTTAGACCAAGTGACAATTTAGTAAGAATTGAGTTGCATTTGAAGCCTGCCATTCATTTTTAATGAAATTACATATACAAGTAGTGATTATAACCATAATCAAGAATTACATTTTATATAAAAAATCAGTGATATTCACTGAATATATGGACAAACTACAAATTCAATATAAAGTTATATCAAACCCACGTTTGGTAAGTATTAAATTTGGAACTTAGGTTTTCAAGGCCTACCATATTTCTATGAGCAGAAAAGTCTCATGATAAAAGTCCGCTGCCTTATATATTTTAAAGTAAACGCATAAATCTTTGATAAAAGTCAATATATATATATATAACTTTGGTTATTATAGTGTCTAATTCTGACATGCAATGCATATGTTGTTATTTTATATTAGAATACTCAATCCTGTTTTGTCTATCTTTGTTTCTTTGTTCAAAGTCAATGCATGGGGCAACATTCTCAACCAACTCCAAAGTTAACATTGAATATGTTAAGTACAGCTGAATATAAAGATTTTGGATTCAAACTTATTTTTCAAAGAGTTTATCTGAAATTCTAAATCTTGACAAAAGAGACTCAAAACAATTGTCCAATCTCAAAACGAAAGGAAGCTGCTGTAGCATTTTCTTATAACAAATACTATTAAGTTGAGAAAAGAGAAAGCTGAAGGAGATTATCAGTAATCGCAAAGCATCTAGCTTAATGGCTAAAGAGGGAAACTTTCTTCTTATCTTAATCTCATGCTTATTCTTGGGTATACCAAGTTGTTCTAGTGAAGAAATTCTGTATAAGCTAATGCAAGGCCAGCAGCTGAGGAATTGGGAGCATCTACTATCCGCAAAGGGTATTTTCAAGTTGGGCTTCTTTAGTCCCACCTCTTCAACTAACCAGTACTTGGGGATATGGTACAGCAAACTACCACATGATCCCGAAGCTGTTTGGGTGGCAAATCCTGAGAATCCAATCCTGGATAAATCTGGGGTTCTCAGCTTGGATGGTGATGGAAAATTAAAGATAACGCATGGTCAAGGGCAGGTAATTCTTTGTGATTTCAGTCAGGGAAGTTCACATAACCTGACTGCCACTTTACTAGATACTGGAAATTTTGTATTGGAAAGAGTAAACTCTGATGGAACAGATGGACAAATATTGTGGCAGAGTTTTGATTATCCAACTAACAATCTATTGCCAGGAATGAAACTAGGAATGAATCTTAAGAATGGATATAATTGGACACTTAGTTCGTGGTTAAGCAATCAAGTCCCGATACCAGGGGCTTTTAAGCTAGGCATGGATCCTAGTGGTGCTGGCCAGTTGGTTGTCTGGCGGCGGGAGGATGTCTACTGGACTAGTGGGGTGTGGAAAGGTGGAGATTTTCAGATGGCACCCGATCTCACAAGAAGAGTTGATCTTTATCAGTTCAGGTTTATTTCAAATTCGGTAGAGCAGTATTTCTCTTTCTCTGCTATAAACAGTTCTACTCTTTCACGATGGGAATTGAATGCTTGGGGGCAAATCTTGCAGTTCACATTAGCTGCAGATCGTACTACTTGGCAGCAGACTACCATTGGTTCATGCAAAATTGATGTAAACTATCCTAATGCTGTGTGTCTAGAGCAAAAGCTCTCCAACTGCAGGAATGGCTCGGAGCTGTTTGTGCCCACAAGAGGCTACTATAACAGTCCCGAATTGTCATACTCCAATAACAACACAAATTTAGCTCTCAGTGACTGTCACGACAGCTGCTGGAATGATTGTTCTTGCATTGCATATGCAAGTCTCTATCCTGACGGAACAGGATGTCAGTTTTGGAGTAAACAAACAAGTTTCGTCCAAAATGAGAAATTCGGAGTTGTTTACAGCCTCAAACTTGTAAATAGTAAAGGTATGTCTTTATTTCTAATTTCTTAACCCCATGTTTGTTCTGAGTTCCGGGGATATCAGCCAGATCTGTTTGAATAGGCATCACATCTCTAATATCCTACTTTGAATGGACAGTCACATTCTGATTCTAACAGCAATGTTTATCACAAAAATATTATTATAGCAAGAGTGCAATATTAATATGGATCAGAACTTACTTTTGAATGGTTCTAGAGCAAACAAATGCAAAGGGAGGCATGGGGAAGAGTATTAAAGAGCGGTGGTGGTTATGGTGCATCTTAGCCATTGCACTGGGACTAGTGGTGCTGCTTTTGGGCTACTTCTGCTACAGGAGGAGGAGAAAACTGAAATCCTTGATATGCACTGGTAAGCAAAGGATTGTATTCAGGTTTATGTGTGAATTATATATGGAGGTAACCAGATTCCTAAACAGCTTTAAACTCAATTACAGAAAAAACAGACACAAGCCAACACAAGGAATTACTGGGGATAAAATCTGAATTTTCCCCAATTTACAATCTCCAAAGAAGTGAAAAGAAAAGTCAAGCATTTAAGTTGTTCAGTTTCTCTCAAATAGTTGATGCTACAGATAACTTCTCATTTGCCAACAAGCTTGGAGAAGGAGGTTTTGGACCCGTTTACAAGGTAAAATTTAAGAATTTTTATGCACATTTGATTTGACAACTTGGATAAGTAATGTTTAGATTTTAATCTCCAGGGTACATTACTGGACGGACAACCAGTTGCAGTAAAAAGGTTAGCAAGAAATTCTGGACAGGGGCTCGAAGAATTCATGAATGAGATTACATTAATAGCTGAACTTCAGCATATGAACCTAGTTAAACTTCTGGGTTGTTGCATACAGAAAGAGGAGAAAATGCTAGTTTACGAATACTTGTCTAATAAGAGTTTGGATACTTTTCTCTTTGGTATGTAGATTATTCTTCTGTTTTCCAAGCCTACCCTCAGAATTTCATTGCTTTCTCCCCAATAATTGGCACTCATCACATTTACAATGTCAATGGCAGATCCCACAAAAGGGAAATTGTTGGATTGGAAAAAACGCATTGCCATCATTGAAGGAGTAGCTCAAGGGCTTCTTTACCTTCACAAATATTCTAGATTGAGAGTGATACACAGAGACTTGAAAGCTAGTAACATTTTACTTGACGATGATACGAACCCTAAAATATCGGATTTTGGAATGGCAAGAATTTTTGGACACAATGAATCCAGAGCCAATACAAATAGGGTAGTTGGCACATAGTAAGTAGAAATAAAGTTTGTGACAGCACATTTAGTAGCCCTGATAATGTCTTTAATTGCATCTGCATGCATCTTCTAACTATTATTCAATGGTTTTATATGTTTTATACAGTGGTTATATGTCCCCAGAATATGCCATGAATGGCATTTTCTCTGTGAAGTCTGATGTCTTCAGTTTCGGAGTACTGGTGTTAGAGATTGTTAGTGGCAAGAAGAACACAGTGTTTCGTTCATCATCTAACCCTGCCGGCCTTATTCATCACGTAAGCTACCAAGATAAAGCCAAACATAGAAGCAGGATTATCAGGAATACAATTTGCCAATGACTTACTGAAAATGATTACAGGCATGGGATTTGTGGAAACGTGGAGATGTTCTCGAGCTAAAGGATGGATCACTGGAATCATGCCCCAAAAAGGAGCTGTTGAGATGTGTTCAGGTTGCTTTGCTGTGCGTACAGGCAAGTGCAGCTGATAGACCTACCATGTCGGATGTTATTTCATCGCTTAAAAATGATGTCATATTTCTACAAGAGCCAAAAGAACCTGCATATGCTACCGAAAGTGAAGCGAACTCACCATTTCCTGACGGCAAATCAGGCTGTCATTCGGTGAATAACGTGTCTATATCCATAATGCAAGCCAGATAGAGAAGTAATTCTAATTCTTTTCTTTTCTGAGGTGGGTGTCGTCAAGAATTAGGTGTTTTTTCCTTCCAAATTTCTAGATATCATATGCTTAGAAATTTACCTTGCACGTCTTGACATAAATGTAATCAAATCATTTTCTATTTCTCAGATGTGATCGTTAGTTCTGGAAAGCTGAAACTCCGTCATTTCAATCAAATACCGAATACAAAAACGGATTTTTATTTATGTAACTACAAATGGAGCCTCAACCTGATTGAAGTTTATCAAGCAAACTCTGCTAGGGAGTTCGGTCTGTGATCTGAGATTAACATCTCTGTTTATACCTTTTGAAGATCTAGCAAGACTAAATTCTTAAAATCATGAAATGAGGTATGGTTTTTGGATTAGCATCTCCCCATAAATTATATCGAGATTTGCTGAACACGAGGATATCACACGATTCACATCATACATGCATGAGAAGCAGCTTTGCAGAACCCAAATCCATGGTTCCTTATACGTCCGACATCTCATCAAGATAACCTCCCATGTAACCTCCTTCTCATCCATAAAGTCCTCCTAACCCTAACACTGCACTCAAATCTTTAAATTTAACATGATTGAATTTTAAGTTCTCAATAAATTTGAAGTCATCGAAACAAATGAACAAGAGGAAAAAAGAGCTAAGAACAGAGTATTAAAAAGAAACTATATTTCTCACCTCATAAATGACTTATGAATCATGACACTACAAAAACAGGAGTTTAGGCCTAATTTTGCCTATATTGACCTGAATAATTCCCCAAGAAGACACTTGCACAATCCCCTCAACCCAAATTAGGAGATACCACTCACACCATGCTTCAAAATGGATGATTATAATAAGTAGACAAGCAAGTGGTAACCACCATTGGAAACTTAAAAGAACAAAACTGAACTGGCTGGTGTTTTCACTAATCACAACCAACCATCTACTAACTACTATTTCTCAGGACTGTTTTTCAGGATTCTCTGGTTCTTCTTCTTTTTCAGGATCTTCCTCCTCTTCCTCCTTTTTCTCTTCCTCTTCTTCATCTTCATCCGGAGGATCATATGGCAATGGTGGTGGTAATGGTGTCTTCATAGGGCTAAATTGAGGAAATATATCTGGTCTACGCCCAGGTTTAGGCCTCTCCCACTCCTGCCATATTAACCATGTTAAATCATACAGCCTCAGACAATAAAATTCCAAAGCAGAAAATATAACCCGTTCTCAGACCAACAAGTTTCTCAAAAGATTGGATTATCTAAACAGTACCCTTTAATAAAAAAAACACTATTCCACAGACAATTACTGCATAAAATAAAATTAAATCCATCTCACGAAAATCCTGCATAAACTCTTAATCGCAAAGCTGACTTGAAATTCCTATCTCCTATTAGCAAGGCAACCAACAACTACTTATAGCTCAATAAAACGAAAAGAGACAGAAAGAAAAGGAACTTACGATGGGGAAATCCAGAGGATTGCGGCGAGTCAATTTCTCTTCCTCGGGAGCCATACAAACCACCTGCCGCCTCCTTCTCCTCGTCCGTTGAATGCCGTTAGAAACGAAGACGACGAGGGAGCATCTACAACCGCGGCTCGGGGAAGTGGAAGAGGAAGAAGTGGAGGGCCGCGATAGGGTTTTGCAAGGCGGCGATAAGGAGAGGCAAAAGGATGATACCATGGTCGGTTTTTTCGTGGTTACTGTTACCCCAGCTGGGCGGAACAGAGTGCACAAATTAGACCCAAAAAACCAAGTTATATTACCAAATGCCTTTTTCTCCGACTGGTGCTCGTCTAGGTCCGTCTCCACGCGCCCGCAACTCCCCAATGGCCACAATTCTAATATCTGGTGGCTCAGCCAGAACTGAGTCCTTCAGCGTTTATGGTTCTATCATCTTAAGGGTGGGCCCACCCGCTTCTTATTGTGGGTAGGGAAATCTCAACGTTCTGCCCTGTTTTCTTTTTAAGTATTTTATTTCTTACCCCAGTGGTTATTATTAGGACAGTCGATTCAGTCTAGCAACACTAAAAACCGAATAAATTGAATTTCACGTTAAAATCATCGAACCGACTAATGTTAGTACATTCGAACAATTCAAAAATTGAACCAAAATTATCTAAACCAAAATTTTAATATTATTTTTATAATTTATTTAATTGAAACATTTAAATTAAATATAAATAATATCTAATACAATATATATAAATAATATCTAACATCTAAATTAAACATATAATACAAATTAACTTTAAAAAATAAATTTAAGTAAACATTCAACAAACATTCTTAAATGAAGTGTAATATATATGATTGATTAGGAGAGTGAAATAATTATTATTAAAAGTAATATATATAATAATAATTTAAAAATATATTATTTAAATTTGATTTTTCAATTGATTTCATTGAAAATTTTAAACACCCAAAATCAACTTAAAACATCAAATTAATCAATTTTTAATAACCAACCAAACTAATATAACCGAATTCAATTTGATTCAATGATTTGTTCAGGTGATATGCATCTTGCTGAACCCTATCCTTATCAACTAAAAATAGGGCTTTTAACCAAAATCAACTTCTAGGATTCAACTTTTCCTCAGAAGAAAGAGTCAAAGGAAATACATGAAAATGCAAAATCTCTGCCTTGATTCTATTGTGGATACAATACAACCATGTTATCTACCTTTGAGTCTTGACATGAAGTTCATTTACGGAGGCTTATATTCAAGGACCAAAAAGAGCCCAATTTTTACTAGAGAGTTTTGCAAAGAAGAGTCTAATGGAAGGTACAACCATATGATTCAAGTTTTAACTCTCCACTTCCCAAGCCGCTTCCGTGCCACTGGCATTCTCGACCTCAAGGAGGCATGCCCTTCCTCCTCGCTGTCTTCGCTATCTAGCACAACTACTATCTCAGATATTGGAGATTCTTCTGTTTCTTCTCTTCCCTTCTGCTTTATCTCCACATCAGTTTCGATACTTTGAGGTCGATGAGACTGCTGCTTCTGGTTATGTCCGCAGTCCTGTTGAACTTGGGTCAAAGGACCCAGGGACAGCTTGCGACCAACCCCACTCTTTCCAGGAGTTCGAGGTTTTGGAAGTGTCGAGTTATGAACTGGCGTCACATTCTCTTTGTTACTCTCTTGTTATTTATGTGATGAGCCTTTCAATCCCAGAGAAAGCTTCCTACCAACTGAACTAACCTTTTCCGATTTCGCAGCAGGAGAGACGTTTTCCATTCTATCAACAAATTCCTCCTGAGGTGTCTCAAGCAACTTCACATTCTCACATGTTTGCAGTGGATCAGTAGATCCACATGGCTGTTTCTGGCTTTGACAATGCTTTGAACTATTCTTTATGCTGCTGTTTGCTGATTTACCATCTTGATGCTGGTCAGGTTGTTGATTGCGGCTAGCCTGAAGAAGTGATGATCCTGAAGAAGCCCGATGTTGACAGAGTGATGATAAGTAATTTGGGTCCACATTCTCCTTGTTATCAAAATCGTCCTTGAATTGATTAGAAGATTTCAGAGATAATTTCCGCCCTTTTCCATTAACTATCTCATGGTTCAGGTTGCATTCATTCAACACATCATTTTCTTTCTCTCTTTTTCTTTTACCTTCCATCTGATTCATCGAGTCAGAGGGAAAGAAGTGGTGACTAGGCACCTCCTGTTCACTGTCTTTTTTCTTGTCTGAGCTAGTAGACTCGAGTGATAACTGCTGGCTAATGCCATGCGGTTTTTTATGGCAAGGAATAAACTCATCAGCACCATGTTTTGATTCCTTGTCAAATCCTTGAACTTCCATCTGCAAACCAAAAGAAATATGAAAAACATAAAATCCAATGCAAGGGAATGAAATAAATCAAACAAAGTGAATGCTAATACCATTGTTGAATCCGTGTTAGTTTCAGTGCATTGATTGCTACAACTGTTTTCTCCAGCTCCAGCCTTCGCATGTTTCTCAGTCAGTGATCTTGCTTTAAGGTCAAAGGCTTGTCTATTGTATTTGTATTCCCTACTCTGCAGATTCATCAAACATATAAAAAAGCAAAAATCTTCATTAATCAGCCTAACCCAATCCATCTGAGAGAATGTCCACTTACTGCTTCACACATCAGGCCATCATCAGGATTTGGTTCGCTGAGCAGTAGCCCTATACTTATAAGCACTGTTGAAATGTTCAATGACGGTTGCCATGCCCCCTGCTCGGAGGACAATCAGACCCTTGTCATATATCAGATGAATTAAAGAAACAGAACTTGCACTTTTGGGAAATCATACAGAAGAACAATCAATGAGGTAACCATGGTTGAGGATTAGGAGTCAAAGTAACTTTTACAGTGACCAAAAAACATATAGACCTCAAACAAAGGCTGTTGTTTAATGTCCCCTTTATCCATTCTTGTATCCCAACAGGTTTTATGAATTTGTCCATGGACTCAATTACCCTGTCCTTATCCCTGAAGTAATGAAATCCGTGGGAAATAATAAAATTGAACTCCAATAACTTCAGACCTGATCCATTTGCAGGAAGATAAGTGAGCCCTTACAATGCATATGGTCAAGATTCTTTGACTGAATACATATCTAAAGTCTTTATGTCATAACTTAAATATAAAATTGAGTCCTTTCACATTAGTTTAAGCTTGCATAACAAACAAGTAATCAATCAAACTATTTCCTCAAATATAATCATAGCATATACTAAGAACATGATCCAAGAGAAATATTGATCCATTTTAGGGGACTAAACTAACCTTTGGGGGGAGATTGAGAATGTCAAGGCAAATTCTACCTCCATTATCAATGTTCGGGTGATAAATAGGCGTACCAAAGGTCACAATAGGAGGCTGAAGCGGATACCTGGAAAAAATAAAATAAAATAAAACCCCTTAAAATATCAAAGAAAAACTGAAACTCGGTAACTTAGCTATACCTTTCAGGTATCTGAATCTTAATCTTAAAGACTCCTTTGGCATATACAGTTCCTTCAGGGCCTTCTATTTCTGATAAACAACATCGACATGGATTTCAATTAATTGCTCAAAAAAAATTATTAATTTTGTAAACATTTTCTAAATTAAAAAAAAAAAAGAACTTACGGGCGTCGATGGAAGAGAGATCGGAGAGATCAGAGTGTGGGGAGAGAAAAGGGAAGGAGGCGCCATGAGGAGGGTCGGCGAGAAGAAGCTTTAGCTCCTTTTGCATTCGGAGTTTGAGCCTTGCTGCTTGTGTCATTTTTTTCTTCGAAGATTAGAGATTTCGGTTTGCTGTTTGGCCTTTTTATTCATTCTTTTGCGGCTTTAAAACTGGAAAATTTTGGACTTGTGATTTTGCGCGGGCGGTGAAGCTTTTCGAAATCTATTTTTCTTTTCCAGTTTTCAATTTTTTTTATCTCCCTCGTAAAAAGTGAAAAAAAAATTGAACAAGATTACTGTTTTACCACTGAGAACTGAACTCGTGCACTTGGTCGGCCGCCCCAACAGGCCACAGGCCAGCCCATAGTCTGAAACTAACGATTAATAAAGTCCAACAAGAGTATGGATCCTAGAATCCTAGTGGCCTATCCTTCCATCATTTCATTGATTCTAAAAGCATCTGAATAGAAAATATTCCTCCTTAATTATTATAATCCACTGATCATTATCCTTTTGTGCCTGAATAGACTTGATTACAAATTGAAACTTTACTTAATCTTAACCAAATTCAAACTTAAATCTCAAATAAAAATTTTAAATACATAAACAAATAAATATAATTATTAAATTAATTATATATACATATATTATCAAAATTAAAAACTCAATTAAGCTCGTAAGTCACTTGAATCAAGTATTAAAAAAGTTCTAACTTGACTTGCTTAAGTTGTTACTCAAAGAGCTTGGCTCTAACTTAGCTTAGTAATTAAGAGTCGAAGTCAAATACGTAATCTAATGAATCTGAACAATATTTTTTTTAAGCATTAGAGTTCACAAAAAAACATTTAATAGTATTGAAAGTTACATACGTCTTCCAATGATCTATACTTCAAAAATTATCCCATACAATATGATGGCAGAGTTAAAAAGTTTAGACGGTTAATGCATGTCACATTAAGATACATTTATGAAAATAAATAAATTATTAAATAAACATAAAATGATCATTTAACACTTTTAATGAAGTTTAAAAATCCATCATTAGTATATAAATGATAATTCATAATTTTCTTTTCTTTTGAAAAGAAAAAAAAATCAATTGTTTGTATTTTATCTTTCGGTTTTTGTTAGATTATCTTACCTCAAGTTATCATTTACAGATTTTAATGATGTGAAATTCTTGTATTCATGTTAGATTCAATGTTATAAAATGTCAATGTTTCTTTTGAAAAATATGAAATGTTAGTATTACTGTACTATAGTATGTATTATTTAAAAGGTATCTGTATTCTTGCTTTACAAAAAAAAAAAAAAGATAGGTATGCTCTATTTAGTGAAAAAACCAATGATGCATAGCCAAGCACTAACTAAACCTCCTTTCATTTTATCACTTAAGTTGAATTCAAGTGGTTATGCTTTGGGATTAGTTAAAAAAAAAAAAAAAAAAACTAGAGAGAGGGGTTTTAAATTTTATTTTTTAAATAAAAAGATTATACAATAATTAACGAATCAAATATTTGAATATAAATAAAAATTAATTTTTAATTAAAGTTCATTTATAATCATAATTTGAGACTAACCCAAAAGGAAATATGCCACCGACAGATTTTAATTCAAATTAAAGCTTCCCTCCTAGTTGTGGTAATGCTGCCGTTTATCTGCAAATTAAAAATTCAAAGTTTCCCTCCGATTTGTGGTATTCATCTCCAAATTCCTCGCCTTAACCCAAACAAGGAA